TGGATTCATTTCTGACACATACCCATATGAATTTAGGAAAAAAACAAAGAAGTGTAGTGTTTTGTGAACCTATTTTGACTAGAGATTGGAAAATCTTAGCTACGTTGCTGTCGAAGTCCTTGTTAGGGAAAAAATATTCCGGCCAGCTACGTTGAGAAACAAACAACAGTATGTTGGGTTGAAATTTCACTTTGACTGAATGTGAAAACATCAAGGAAGACCTAAACCCAAATAGCAACATATAGCTAATAGCTATGAGAATGCTAGCTGTTATGGAGAAAAGGTGGAAAACATGCTAATCAGGGGCACAGAAAAGGATGTGTGAAAAAAAAAAAATCTATTGTTTTGTGAACACATTTTGACTGAAAGTGAAACAAATGAAAAAAGAAATGGTTGCTAGCTATGTTGCTGTCAATCCTTGTTAGGAACAAGAAGATTCCTGCTAGCTACCTTTCAAAACATGCAACAGTATACCAAGTCAGTTGTGATTTCCCTTTGACTGAAAGTGAAACATCCAGGAACACATAAAATAAGCCAGCAGCACATTGCTAGTAGCTAGCAGTGGTGAAAGCTAGCTGTAATGGGGGGCCTGCTGGTGGAAAACATGCTAATCAGGAGCACAGAATAAGATATGTGTTAGCTAACTGGACCTAACGGCCTGTCCAGTCAAACGTGGATTCATTTGTCACAAATTCTCATCTCAATTCCCAAAAATGAAATAAAATCTAGTGTTTTTTGGACACATTTTGACTGAAAGTGAAGACCTAAAACAAGACAGCAGCATATTGCTAGCAGCTAGCAGTGGAGAATGCTAGCTGGCACTTCCCATGAATAGAGTTCAGTTTATCTTCCATTACCTTTTCAAAAGCAAAGAGAGGCTGCTGTTTTTATTTCTGTAAAGGGATCTGTACTTTAACTTTAACTTCAAATAAAATGATAAAAATTAGCATTTAAATGACCACAAAAACACTCCAAATGCCTGTCTCCAGCTTTAACATGATTTTGGGCTGTCCCACCTCACTGACACTGAACTTCTCTAAGAAATATATACATTAAAATCCCTCAGTGACACCATGATTACAGTGTTATTTTCTTCGGTTTTGAGCAATTTGATGTTAAAAGAATGATTTTCCCTAATAATTAAATTAACACACAAAATCCTTTTAACCAGAGTCTCATATTTTATGTGCAACCCAAACCTGATGCTATATATAGGAAGTTGCATCATCTTATTGTTTTCTGCAGAATGACCATCAGACAAGTAAGTATTCTTATTTTCTCAATTTACACACACGAAAAATTGATTTGGCAGCTTGTGTATAGCTTGATCATTCAACCCTGTTAACAAAATTACTGTTAGAAAAAAAAAATATGCATAAGTACGTAATCTATATGGTTATTAGTAGTTAGCATGTAGCATGTGTGCCCTTTCAAGCTAACCACTCCTGAATGCTAGCTTATTTTAGGCTAAGTTCGCAAACCTGTTACCCATCTTTATAAACTTTTACAAGTTATTTTAAATGAAAATGAAATGAAAATGGCCTGAGACAAAGATTTTAATGAAAGTGTTTTGTCCAAAACAACAAAACAAACATCTTTCTGTTCTGCTCTATGTTCTATACTTCATATGTTTTTTATGGCATTAATATCATCTAAATGGTGACTATGACCTCTGTGTTCAGCCCTGTTACCCAGTCAATTATGATGAAAATAGCACATATATTATCTGATTTGACAGCCTGAAGTGGGAAAATAACATTTTCTGAAGGTTAAGCACTTACCTTGATTTATACTTTGTCACACTAAAGGAAAAAGTACACTTTTATAGAGTTTCAAGGCATAAAATGAACTCTACTCACAGAAGGTGCCAGCTGTTATGGAGGGGATGCTGGAGGGAACTAATGTCAGCGCTAACCCTCTTGTCATAGCTTGAACTACAGAGGAAGCTTTTGCACCTCCGAAAAGTAGTTTAGTAGTGCCAGCAGCTCTGTCTCTCGTTTATAACTTGCAATAATTTCCAGGAAGGATAATATCAGGAAAATCATGCTTCCATTCATTCATGAAATACTGAAATGACTGGAGTTTAGTAAAGGCTATAGAGAAGCCTTCAGACACTTCCTTCAGGTAATGCAACAGAGCCAGCTTTAGTCAGGCTTTAGAAACTATTTTCAAAACATGAGAAACAGCATCATTTAGCTGTTGCCAAGCTAAAGGCTTACAGATCCATGAAGCCTGAGGCTAAAGGTGAGCGCTAAAGCAACTGTAAGAGGGCTACAAATGTTTATTTCATGGAGAGAAACCACTAAGCTGTTAAAGTGTTAAAGGCCATCGTTATGATGTGTGAAAAGCAGTCAAGCCTCAAGTGAATGTAAAGTTTACCTGCACTGGAAAAAACAGGGTTGGTTTCTTGTTTGATTTGAGCATATGTAGTATGTTTTTTTCATCATACTTCAACACGTCCCTTCTAATATGGCAAGAAATAGACCTCTGAAATCATGCATCATTCTACAGATGACATCATTCCCATATCAGGAATTCCAGGGTCTAAGCCATTTTTCTCTGTGGGGAGAAATGAATGGAGTACAGTATGACACCATGACTTCAGCGGTCTATGAGGCTGAAACAAAGGTGGAGGTAGCTGCAGGTAGCTCTGAAAGAATCATGAATGCTTCTGCTTGCTGCACTGCAAAAATTTCCTCGGAAAGTGAAAGCTCCTTAAAGCAGCACTATGTAAGATTTGGGGATTTGGAGACCTCTCTGGCAGAAATGTGTAATTACACACAAAATGTGCGTTTTGTAATGTCGGTTGTGCTTTGGACCCCACAAGTATAAATAGGTGAAGGATGTGTCTTCTGAGGATGTGAGTGGATGATCTCGTAGTTTTATCATACTTTAATCAGTATAATTAAGCAATAAGACATGAGAGGTCTTGTGTTACTGTGATTTAATCATGGGGAAGGGTGTTCTTAGGCATGACACAAAGTGGAGCCCCTAAAACCCCCTTCCCTGTGATAAAATCGCACTGGCCTCTTGTGGCTTCTTGCTTTTATAAAATGTTAATTATTATTGATAATAAATGACAAAGTAGTATTTCATCAAGAAATGTAGTTCCTTAAAAGCATGATGTTGTGACCAAGCAACCATAGACTGCTGAATGAGAACAACATTCAGTTGTATGAACTTTTTAACTTTTTTCTCCTTGTGACTCAGTACCTACTTCTTTCAGTTTAAAAAAAATGTAGTGCAGCTTTAAATATAGGCAATGTATGTAATACTTGCAATTATGATGTAGGAATATTTTTGTGAGTATGCAGCCTATTAATAGATGTCACATATTTTGAGAAATGTCAAGTAAAACTGCCCACAACTACAAGAATTTATCTTTATGCAAAGACCAGCATCAGTGATCAGTCGCTGCATCACACTACCAAATGAAGAAAACCTCATATTCAGTTGGTAAAATATTTACTTTTACATATTTCACTATGTTGAAAAGTGATTTTGTTTTTGCTTCCACTTATTTTGAATAGCTCCATACTTTTAAGTAAGACTTTGACACATTATCAGTGTGTTCACTTAAGTGTAATTTGTCTGCACCTTTGCTCACCTCTGCTTAAAAGAATCTTGATAACATTGCTATTAATAAATAAATAAAAATAATAAAATTAGTAAAAGAGAAGTGAAAAACTAAATATCACACATTTCAAAAAATTGGAATTTTCAAAAAGGAATTTTGGAACATTTCTATTGCTTCATTTATGATGAGATTTTCACAAAATGTAAAGGACAGGTAATATGTAAATATATTCTTTGGACAGCAACAATATGCCTCAGTCATAAAGTCTGATAATGAGATGTTTCAATTTCAAAAAAAAATATGAATTTCATGATGAATGGACCAAAAGAAATGCTTCAAAATCATTTGGAACAAAATCTCTTCTCACCTTACAAAGAAAGTTTTTGATGTCTCCTGTAAACTTGCCATTTTGGAGATACTTATGACATTCTGGACAGTGACAATTTATAGCCCACATTGCATATATAAGCTTTTGATACGCTTTACCTTCACAATCTCTTCTTGCAGTGTATTTGTAAGTCGACCTGCTGAAGATGCAACTAGAGAAAACCAGTTAAATCCATGTTTTAAATGAAAAGTTTTAACTATCTTAATGACGTCCAACAATGTGAATAACAGACGATTACCAACCTGACTTGGATAATGGGGGTCAAGTCAGAGGAACTTGCTCACCAGTCCTGGATCACTGCTTTTCGATCAGGTTAAAGAGAACCAAGTGATCCAGAGACTGTCTATTCAACTATGTAGAGTAACAGCGCTGAGTCATAGATGTCTCTTTTTTCCTTGTTCCTTTCTATCGTATTTATGCCAGTGCCTCTGTCTGTCAAGGTTCCTGGAACGATGTTCTGCTTCCATGTTATTTTATTCATTAGGATATGACATCAATATTCTTTACTCTGAGCGTAAGCATTATAAATACAACCCCAACTGCCCTCTATTCTTTCTCCCCCCGTCCTCATCTTGTCATCCTCTCTATATCGGAGAACAGGCGTCTCTTTGCTATTCAGCAGATAACCCCGGAGAGAGACCGAGAGGGGCACCTCGCTGGATTTTTAAGAGACGTCGACTCCGTGGGTTGATTATTGAGTCTCTCGCTCTCCTTCCCCTTTTGAACCAGCATGGAAATAAAGAAGTCTTTCTTCTCTCCTTCTCTTTATTTGAGACATGTTTGCACAGTCTTGCAGAAGAAATCCACATCTTTCAACAGCTTAATACACTATTGGCCTCCCCCACAAACCCACCTGAATGTACTGCTACTTCCTCCTGTCAAAACCCAAGGCTACATCTCGCTCTTCTTCCCTTTCTTCTGTCTGTTTCAGTCCCACTATTTTTTGTTTCCACACTTGCCTGCTAACATGAGAAGGGCAAGCTTTGCACACTGTACACACTGGATGTGTATTAATCAACACAAATCAAAAGAATCTGTATATATATTACTTTTATTTTCACATTATCATCATAATTTTTCTTCATTTTCCCTTCATTCTCGTAAAATGATCACCTCTGAATGTACACATACTGCAAACTGTCAAAAATATACAAATGAATGCAGACTTGTGCTATACTCTGGTCAAATGTTTAAAAAACATTGGCACTGAGGGAGAGAAAGAAAAAAATAAAAGGAAGAAAGAAAAGACACTGAAAAGTGTGAAGACATGCACAGCATACGTGAGAGCACCAGGTGAAATGAGGTGCTCGCTGCATGGGTTTGTTCTTTGAAACCGAAGATACTATAGTCAGACAGTAGTTCAAAAGGCTGCCCTTTATAAAAGAAAAACCATCAAGAATGGTACTATTAGGCACATAATCGTTTGCTTTATACATAGTTGTCAATCTCTGATTGAATGTAGAACTGTTTTGGAATTGTAGAAAAAGAAAGGAGAAAAAAAAACAAAAAAAAACAACCAACAATTCCTGGAACGTACAAGAAAAACCATTCTTCCGCTGTTACAAGTTGTCAAGGAATCTCTGTCTAGGAAAACACAGGAATGTCAAATCCGTAGCATGGTATCCAGGGTCTTTGTGTGGTCCTCAGGTGAGGGTTGTGGAGTTTGCCGGTCCGCGTGGCGGTGTATCAGATGCTGAGATCTTTGGGGTTGTCTTTGTTGGCCTTCCTCCTGGGCTCGGGTAGTTTATCATTGGCTTGGCTGTAGCCAGACTTGAGCTTGCGGTAGTAATCCCTCACTCTGTCTTCTTCCTCTGAATCTTCCTCATCTGTAGACAGGTCTCGGCCAAGGCTTCTGGTCCTGTAGCGGGACGGCCCTGGAGACTCTGCCTTGGTGTATCGGCCCCTTCTCTCAGGAGAGCGACCCCTCAACAGTGAGCTGTACCGTTGGAAAGCTGTGTCCGAGTCAGGGGTTCGGACACGGGGAAGGCTCTGGTCCTGGTAGGCCCCTCTAAGCAGGCTGTCCCCTCTGTATGTCTGCTCCATGGATGTGAAATCCTGAAGGCGGTCAGATGACTTGCGGGTAAGAGTGTCGTCCTGGTTCAAACGGTCATATGACCGTCGAGTGAGAGCGTCATCCAGGTTCAAGCGGTCATAAGATCGTCGGGGGAAGACACTGTCCTGCTCGTACAAAGGTCTTGGCAGGGGACTCTCCCGGTTCAGCCTGTCTAAGGCAGGAAACTCTCTCAAGACGCTGTCTACGCGGGATGGAGGCTCGGGAGGTGGAGGCTCCCTCAGGACTATGTCCTCTTCTTGCTGGGGCTTGCCATTGCGAGGCCTGTCTGAGGAAGGGTTAGAGGGCAGGTGGGGGGACTGGTATCTGTAGCGGTGTGGGGAACGATATGGTGATCTACGCCGGTGGGGGGAACTGTGGCGGTGCCCTGACCGGTATGGTGAACGGTGCCTATGAGGGGACGAGTGCCGATGGTGTCGTCTTTCTGGCGAGCGGCCATGCCGTTGTCCATTGCGGCTGTCCAGGGTATTCTCTGCGCTCCTGGCCCTGCGCCTCCTTTCTGGCGAACGGTGCCTCCGGTGGTGCTGATGGTGCGAGTCGTCCTTGCTGGACTTCTTGTTGCTCTTCTTCTTGAAGAATTTGCCAGCTCCGCTGCCTTCCTTGTTGTGGCGCTTGCCCTTGCCCTTCTTGTCTGGAGAGCGATGTCTGTGGTTGGAATGGTGATGGTTGGAGCGGCGGCCGTGCTCATGCTGACCCGTCTCTCGTGCCCTTTTGTCCTCATTCCGGGATGGTTTATGGTCTGGTGGAGAGCTGGAATCCAATGGAGGATGGGATTGAGTGTCAGGAGGTGCTGTGTTCACTTCCGAAACAGTTTGAGCCCCGACGACGGGGCCGTTGTCGATGTTGTTGTCTGGAACATAAACAATCAATTATAGGTAAAACAAAGAAAAATTTGAGCCAGGCTGGCCCAGTGCTTCGAAAAACATTAAGATCATCACACAAGGGTAAAGAGTGATTACCACACATGATCTTAGCGCTATCCTGAAAAACCACTATGCGACTGACATATTTTGGTTTGATGCAAAGGACTAATTTTTGGCAATGCCTTGTCTTCAAATCGACACTGTAGTCCAGGCATCCAGATGTCCAGCTAAGGTCATCCAGGGGTGCCACAGCACTGCAGAGTTGAAGACTCCAGCATACCTGATTCAACTCCTTTGTTAATTAACAAGCTCTTAATGAGCTAAATCAAGTTTACCCAAGTGCTCTGACACCCAGAGCAATCATCAATAGGAAAATTTATTAGCAGTAGCATATCTAGTGACATGACAAAGGAGTCATTAATCACGATACTGAAAACCCATGAATCATTTTAGCACATACTAATTGCTTTAGCCAATCCAGTCCTAAATCTAATTTAAGGGAGAAGACGATGAAATATAATTGCAAGCCAGAAAGCAATGTCTCATATGAGGGCGATGATTCAGCCAAAGCATACATGGCATAAATGGCAAATGGTTTTATGTATCCAACACAGCAATATGTTCAAGCTCCCATTTAGAACAATCTTTGGTTTGGCTTCAAGACAAAATCTTGACATTCATGCATTTAAGTAGTTTTACCCAACTGAGATGATATGTTCAAACTTGCCCAGGGCATACACAACGTATGAGTACACAGTCTGGGAAAAACAGTGGTACAGAAATAAGCACATTCAGGCTAGTCTTAGTGCTTTTCGTGCTCTATTAACAGTAACACTCCATTAAAAGTCCTATACAGCCTACGCCTGTAATTACAGGAATAGTTTGGCAAAAAAAAACTGCTTCTTTAGTTTAGCTCTGGAGCTACAGGGCTAATGTTGCTGACAAAAACTTGAAGTCAACAGTCACCCAAATCTTTTTTTTTGCAAATCCATCCCCAAAATGTCTCTCAATCCACATCCAGGTCTTCATTAAGGCTGTCCAGACTTGTCGATGTGCTTGTAGGATACAAAATATTAACATACTATTAGATTAAAAAAATAAATAAATTTGCCATATAGCTAAACATTGTGGGCAGCCAGAATCAGCACACCTGCCCTAAATGGGCTGCCACCTGTGTGAAGCTACACTGTGAAGTCTTTACAACCTTAATGACCACCTAGATGCGGTTTATCAAAGTTTTGAGCAAGTATTTATGGAAAAGATTTTGGGTAACTATTGGCTTATAGTATTTGTTTGTAATGTTAGCCTCATAGCTTCAGTGCAAAAATGAAGAAAATTTGGACACCAAACATGTCTTGGCTGAACACATTTTTGGGGTAAAAGGAAAATTATGTAAATATGATCTTCTTAATTAAACCATTCCTTTACTCAGACTAATAAACCTTACAAAGCTATTAGCACATCTTGCTCAGCCTCTTTCTTAACAAATCTACAACTTTACTGAGGCCTATACTGTGTTTAGCACCGTACAACATGGGAGGGTGTGATGTTAACCTACTTTAGCTAGCCAGAAACCCAAGCTAGACAGAAATATTGAAACTGTGGGATTCTGCGTATGTTAATGGTGTCGAAAGATGGTTCACATTAATATCAAAATAAAAAATAACGGAAGACACCTATACCAAAACTGATGGATGGCGACTTGCGCATTTCATCTGTGAGAATGTGCAGCCACAGTTCAAAGGCGTGAATCCATCCCCGTTGGGACAGCGCGACAGGAGTGGCCATAGCACTGGCAATGCATTGAGCGTAAATGGATTCGTCTGCATGGAGTGGAAGACGGCGCGGATGACCGGCTGAAGCAATGACGGAACGGCATGGACAAGGCAACTACAAACCGTGGTTTGGTTTTGGTAGAAACCAGGCTCTCCTGCCTTTTCGTTTCTCGCACCGGCCGCGGCTTGGGGAGCGGCCATCGCTGAGACAGGAGAAGAAGAGAGCCCGGGACGATAAAAGGTATGCAGATTCAAATGGAAACAAAAATAAAGAAGAGAAGAAAAGAGAGAGAAGCAGAACATTTAGAACCCTGAAACAAAAGGCCATGAGATAGTGATAGTGGTTTTGCAATGGAAAAAGGTGTTTATTTGTTCAATTAGTCAATCAAAGATAGAGATTGTCCATAAAATGCCCCCACCCTTGAGTGAAAAATAAAACATGAAGAGAGAGAGAGATCCACAACACCACACACAAGCACCCAGCAGCATTATAGACCCAAGCTCCATAGACACTGTGAGAGTGGATGCTTTAATATGTCCATACAAATACAGTCCTGTGTAAAAGCTGACCCTTCAAATATTACATTTGCACTCAGATCAGCCATTAAGTACAAGTTATTCCTTATTTAGGAGATATTTCTGAGTAGATAAGGAAGCCTAAGGAAGGAGAAAGTCAAAGGGAAAATAAGTGGTAAAAAACAGGTTTCCAGAACTGGAGTCAAAGCTACAGAGAAAATGGGACTCCTAGCAACCACCTGAAAGACCTGGTAGACCACCACAACTGTTACTATCACTTAAACAGTACTTTAAAGCTCAAAACAATGGACTGCCCACCCCAGAGCCAGGACATTGCTGTTTGGGATTACTTGGATTGTGAGAAGCAGGAAATGCAACCAAGACTGAACTTTAGAGGAACTTTCAGAGGAAAAACTGAAAGCAAGTATCCTGAAAAGAATAGAAGCTGTAATAAAGGCAAAGTGTGTAACACTGACAACATGATATTATATTTAGCTGTTGGGGCGTCTATGCAATTTTCCATTAAATATGTATTTCCTGTTTTTCCTGATGCTGAAAAATAAATAACTTGTACTTAATGGCTGTTTTGACTGTAAATGAAATAAATGAAGTGTCTCTGACTTTTGCAGAGTACTGTAAACACACACATACACACACAGTCGCTCACTCAAGTCACACACGCACAACAGTGAATGAAGCGATTTACATTGCAAACAGAAACTGGCAAAAAAATGTGGAAGAATGAAAAAAGAAAACAAAAGTACAAAAAATGGTACAAAAATATACAACCTCACAGAGTTATCATATTTTGCGGAAAAAGACACATCATATCACATTCTGAACTTGACAAAATACATGAAAGAAAGTAGAGAACGAAAAAAGAATGCATAAAAAATAAGAACATCAATCGAGATCAGTTGGAACAGGTATGACGAATCTTCCATAAATATTATGGAAAATGAAGTCTTTAAAAAAAATGGTTTTCACTAAAGACGTCATGCAGCAACAGACATTTTTAATGTTCGGCAAGTGAGCTGGATTATGGCTTGATTTTCAAAATCACACAGAAGAACGAAACCTAATGGTAGTGGAGAGCGGGTGAAGTCCACGAAGCGTCTGTTCAGAGTGCAGCCTGCTGAGTCTGCAACGTTACATAAAGCATGTGTGGCGAGATCCGTGCGTGAACAGGTTCTACTACAGTATCGAGTGAGTTCTCACTGGAAAGGGTAAAAGGTCCTAGAGCTTTCATAGTCATCAAGTCTCTACAAGTCTTCTCAGTAGCGTACATTCACCTTCAATAAATAGCATAAATATGTTACTTACACCGCACTGACTTGGTAACGCCATCAACCAGGAGGGTATAAAAAGCAGTTTATCAAGTTTATCTTATTATCAGCTTTAAAATAGATCATTTCATGAGGGCTCTGAGAAGTAGTAAACTTAGAATCCAGTTTTAGTTTTACAAACAATCTTCCTGCTTCCTTTCAGTTGCTCTTTGCTTTCGGTTTAGCATTAAAAACATGTGCCCAAGAACGTAACCACTACCCAAAGAAAAGGAAACAAAAAACAAAAAACGAAGTAGAACTACATTTCCCAGTGTCCCCTGCTAGGCTAGCCTGGTGCACAGAAGCAGAGAGGAGGGCAAAAGGCAACAGGAAGAAGGCCCATCACCCAGTAGCAGGAGCCCAGGAGAGAGAAGAGGTGCTGCTGTCGCCCCAGAACCCCCGGAAGCTCTGTCAGGGCGTGAAGACGGGGGAGAAAGGGATGTTTTCGTAGATGGACCCACCATATTCGGGCACGGAGCCGTCACCCCTCTTCAGGACGAGGTGCACTGTCCGGCCACCGTTTTTGATCAGTTCTATGGCGCGCGCGTGCTTCATGCCTTTGGTGCTCTCGCCGTTAATCTCCAGAATCTCGTCCCCTACCTGAAAGAGATCATTGTTATCAGAATCGTTATTATGATTATAATTGCAGGTATTATTACTGATCATATTGTTGTTGCTATCTTGAACTGAAGTGAATGAAAGAGAGAGAGGCGGAGAGAAGACAAGAGAGAGTGAGAGGAGATGAAAACAGAAAAACAGGAAATGAGACAAAGAAAGAAAGAAAGAAAGAAAGAACAAAGAAATGATAGAATGAGAATGGCAGAGAGAGAGAGAAAAGAGAAAGGAAGGATAAGTGTAAGATAGGGAGGAAGACAGAAAGAGAACAATAAAAAGTAAGGAGAGAGAAAGAGATGAGAAGGAGATAAAATGGAGTGATAAGAGCAAAAATGAGAAAGAAATGAGAGACAGAAATGAGAGAAATGGAAAAAAAGGAGAGAAAGAGAGAAAGGAGGGGTGAGTGAAAGATAGGAAGGAAGGCAGAAAAAGAAAAATGGAAAGGAGGGAGAGAGAAAGAAATGAGAGAGAGAGAGAGAGAGAGAGAGAGAGAGAGAGAGAGAGAGAGGATAAGAAAGAAAAGGAGATAAAGGATGAGAGTGAGACAAGAGAGAAAGGAAGGAGAGAAAGATAGGAATGGGTACACAGAAAGAAAGAAAGAAAGAAACAAAGAAATGAAAGAGAGGATGACAGACAGAGAGAGAGCAAGAGCTGAACACGGAAAGAGGAGAGAAAGAAGAATGAGAGAGACAAGAGAAAAAGAGAAAGGAGGGAGAGAGAAAGATAGGAGGGGATTCAGAGAAAGAAAGGAGAGAGAGTGAGAGATGAAAAATCAGAGAAAGGTGGGAAGAGAGAGAGAGAAATAGAGAAATGAGAGACGAGAGAAAAAATGAGAGAAGGGGAGAGAGAGAGAGTAGAAGAAAAGAGAGAACAAAAGGAGAGAGAGAAAGGAGGGATGAGGAAAAGGAAGGCAGAAAGAGAACAGTAGAAAGGAGAGAAAGAGAGAGATAATGAGAAAAGCAGAGAGAAACAGCAAGAGACACAGAGGAATGAGAGTGAGACAAGAGAAAGAAGAGAAAGTCAATGAAAGAAAGAGAAGAGAGAGAGAGAGAGAGAGAGAGAGAGAGAGAGAGAGAGAGAGAGAGAGATGGGAACAGAGTAAATTAAGTCACCAGCAAATCAAACACAAATCCAACACCAACATCTCCACATTTCTACAATCAACACTGTCAACACAGCAGTGACGGGCGGGAGAGACGCACAGAGACGGAAGCTATCGAGACTACGAGAGACACACGGAGAGGGAATGATGCAGGAGTCCTTTTGTTCTATTTTCCTCCCCGCCTCTGGCTATCTGTCAGTTGTGTTCTCCGGGGGAACGCCACTCCGACAGCCGCTCTCTGTTCCTGACACCTTCTCGCTCTGCTTCCCTCAGCCTGAGCTCCATTATCCTCTCATCTCCCTCTCCGAACCCAAGTCGCGCTCCGGCGCTAACTGCCAGCTAAAGCTGCATATCTACAGCTTATTAGCACGCAGGAGCTGTTGCTAATGACACCTATAGTTAACCCTTCCGCTGACCCGCAAACGAACCTGCGAGTAACAGGACAGGTTCTCAGTGAACCGTCACATTTCGAGCAAAGACACATTTGTGAGAGAACTCTGGAGTGAGAGTTCTACTAGTGCTAGGAGTTCAAAGCTACGCTGCTGAGGAACAGAGCTGGAGACCACGAGAGACTCCTTCTCTATAGCAAGAGATTGTTATGGAGCATATCAGGGTGTGTGGAGATCTGATCTAGGAGCAGTTTTCCCAGCTGATTTTGGTGAGCTTAGTAAAACTAAAGAGCTCCTAGACCGGCTAGCTAGCTACTCCTGCATCTCCATGCCCCAAAGCCCTTCAGATTCTCCTTAGTTAGACTGCTAGCAGTAGAAAAGTAGTACACAAGTATTGAAGGACATTGTCCACATTTGGCTGCCTCACCAGTCTCCTTTATCCTGGTTTCGCCTCTCAATATACCCACTGCCCTTAGTCTGTGACACTGTTTGACATGTGACACTGTTTGACAGGGACTGCATTCTAGTAAATGACACTGTCCCACAGCTATCAAATAGATGAATATATAATAATCAATAAGTCTGGGCCCATATTGTCAAAATAGCAAGTGTATAATTTTACATTTTAGAGACAAACTTAAAAGTGACCCTCACTCCACCACTGTCCATGATTTGTACTGCACTGCCTTTGAGAAATTCACCCCTGATTGAGTATTCAGAGTCAGATGTGGTAATCAATAAGTCTGACTATGAGGGGTGTTGAGGTTTATGGAGTCAGATGTGCAAATCAATAAGTCTGATTAGGAGGTGTGTCCAGGTTCTGGGAGTGAAACGTTGTATTCAATAGTTGTGATTAGGATGTAGGTTGAAAGTTAGTTATACGTAAAAAAATGTTTCGTTACATTGTTCTATATTATTAGTTAATTATTGCTCAATTGTTCAGTCTGAAAATTTAAGGCTTATTTTAGTCGAAGTACAAATAAAAATCTACATTTAGAGAACATTGCACTATTGCTACTATTGAGTCTTTATATTTTCCATTCAACAAGCAACAAAACGGATGAAAGTCAATAAAAATAACCCTGAAAAAGTTAACAAGAAACTGTTGCTGAAATGGATGTTTATTTTTTTTTGGCACAGTATTCTGTGATGCTGTCCTCAAACAAGGTCTTTTTTAATCTCTATAATTTCAAAATAATATGAAAAAGATATCCAGCAACTCTCCTAACTGTCCCTCTGGTTATTCTGTTGCTAGTGAACGACTAGACTTCTTCTCCGGCCCCTTCTAGTAAGTAAAAGGTGTGCACTGGCACCTAGTGTACCAAAGTAACAACTTTTCAAAGTTCAAGCCTTTGCTGCTGATTTTGAAACCTCAAATATGAATTAGTGATTTGAAAAATGTCTGATTTTGATAATCATCATGGTGTAACTGTCCAGGCCTATGTGAAAGGAGACGTACCCTCATCTTGCCGCTACGCACTGCTGCTCCATCCTCGGCAAGTCTCAGGACGTACAGGTCCATGTTGTACTCACGTCCTCCTCGCAGACTGAAGCCAAAACCTTTACTGTCCCGCTCCAGGTCCACTGAGTAGAGCTCATCCTGATGCATACAAACACATAATTATGGATGTAAGTACAAAGAAAGCAACATGTATATGGACACCACTTAGACAGGCATGTAAATTTGTCACCTTAGAAATGAATGGATTTGATTTAGCTTGTTTTGGAAATGCATCATGAAATATCAAACGTCACCATGTTTTAATTTGATTTGGTTCTTTTGATATAGTATGTAATTATTTGTACACATACACTACACAGACAAACGTGGCTGGTGGAGATTTTACAAAGCAGTGGAATTCAGATAATAAAAATAATAATTTTGAAAACTAATGGCCAAAAATGAGCACATACTTCATTAAGTTGGCTTAGTTTTTTCTTCTATGCTGAAAATTTAAACACTTTTAACTTCTACAGCTTTTAAACTAGAAGAACTAAATTTTAAAAGCCTATATCCAAATACTGTGCTTGTGCTTTTTGAAATGATCAGATGTACGATTTTTGTACTGCGTTCATTCAAAGATGATTTTTTCTTTAGAACGTTCAGAAAACTCACATCTAGCTGCCACAAAATGTCACAGTAGACGTCTCTCACACTCAGACATTACATACAAATTCACAAATTTACCAGCATACACTTAAAATACTATAGCTACCATAACAACCATGTAAAAATAACCTAGTAAACACCTGGAACACCACAGCAACCACTTAGAAACTCCCTAGCAATAACGAGAGAAAACATAGTAACCATTTAACCACACCTTAGCAATCAGCTCCAAAACCTCAGTAACACCTTAGCAACAACAAGAGATAGCAACCATCTGGAACACTATAGCAACCACCTAACAACCTTTTGGAATTACTATATAAACCCAATTATCATCAAGAAACTTTCCCCGATTCTAACATTACAAAATCACCAGCTTCAGATTGATTGCCTTTTACACCTCTAGTAAATGTGCATCCAGAGTGCTGCGTATGTACAAACACACAACCACACAAACACAAACCCCCAAGGTCAGACTCTGTGGTGTTTTTTTCCCTTTTCTTTCTTTCTTTTAAAGCGAGGCTTTGGTTTCCAGAGAGCAGCCCACAGTCACCTGCAGGAAAGTCACCCACATATTTGATAGCAGTGGCGGCTGAAGCGCTGCATGAATAATAGATAACAGCAGGCCTGGGCCGCGTGGGTATTTTTGGGCCAGGAGAGACAGAGAGGAGAAAAAGGAGAGAGAGGGCAGGGGGCATCTCTAAAGCAGCAAAGAGAACAAAGCAGGAGGACACACTCGCTCGACCGAACTCTCCACCACGTCACAGCCGCAGAATGTCAAATGCTGGGCTGAGCAAGAAGCCAACACTGCAAACAATCGTACCTGATAACATCACGCTCTGGTCAAGACTTTGACAGATCACTTTTAATATTCAGACGGGGGTTTTAGACTGTAAATAACACTCAGAGTGTACTATCTGCGATGTGAAAGATGTTGTAGATACTGAGTAGGGGAACTAAAAAAGTGCTTATTAACAGGGATGTCCCAATCTGATCTGAGAGAAAAGCCTGTGTCTATTTTAACTGATCTTTATCACCTAAGTTGATTCAATTCTGATGCTTTTTTGTATTTTACCTCACTGGGCTCTATTTGTGCTATTGTTATAGATGTGACATTAACTGACATTCAAAATTTATGCACAACTCACATTTAAGAGTTAACAAGCAGTTTATATTCACCGATCAGTCATAACATTATGATGACCTCCTTGTTTCTACGCTCATTGTCCGTTTTATCAGCTCCACTTACTATATAGGTGCACTTTGTAGTTCTACAATTACAGACTGTAGTCCATCTGTTTCTCTGCATACTTTGTTAGCCCCCTTTTACCCTGTTCTTCAGTGGTCAGGACCCCATGGACCCTCACAGAGCAGGTACTATTTGGGTGGTGGATCATTCACAGCACTGCAATAACACTGATGTGGTGGTGGTGTGTTAGTGTGTGTTGTGCTAGTACGAGTGGATCAGACACAGCAGTGTCACTGCTGGACTGAGAACAGTCCACCAACCAAAAACATCCAGCCAACAGTGTCCTGTGGGCAGTGTCCTGTGACCACTGATAAAGGACTAGAGGATGACCAACACAAACTGTGCAGCAGCAGATGAGCTATCGTCTCTGACTTTACATCTACAAGGTGGGCCGAGAAGGTAGGAGTGTCTAATAGAGTGGACAGTGAGTGGACACAGACGCTGCGGATAGGGCTGCCCACGGCTCCGGGAAAGTATGCTTACTGCCCCCTAGTGTGTGTGGATTCACTAGTGTGTGTGTGGTGTTTCACTGCACGGATGGGTTAAATGCAGAGGTGAAATTTCCACGTTGTGGGACTAATAAGGGTCACTTAATTTTAATCTTAAATTAGCAAGTAATTGGCAGCTTAGCACATCTGACAATGTGTTCACATTAGGAAAGTAGGCTGTAGGCTTTGTTTACACAGCAGGTAAAAGTTGCATGAATTCCGATCTGGCTGTTCAGACTGAGTCGCATTCGCCGCATATCGGATACGTATCGGATTTCAGTACCACATATGAAAGCGTCTCAAATCGGAAATGAAAATGTCACATTCAGTGTGTTTTTGCTGTTCACACTGACACACAGACACACATCTGTGTCACATATGAAGAAAAAGATCAGATTTGGGTCACTTTCACCTGCTGTGTGAACAAAGCCTTAGAGACTTAGGAGTAGCTGCGATTTAAGGACAATCAATGAGAAATGTGGCAACAGGACTATAAGCATATAAATTATGACACTGTGAAACAACAGTGTAAATGATTTGGTCCAGCAAATTCCACTGACCAATCATAGACATGGGTTGCCTGAGGTCCCCAGGCTTTACTCTGAATATTTTGTTTTTATCAGTACTTTCTTCTGATTCTCAACACATGGAAGAGAATCTAATAAATGATATAAATGTGTAAACTTAGAACCATTGTTCATATTAAAAGGGATATTTTTAAAAACGCTGACAAGAGCTGCCTTGACACCCACCGAAACATTTGGGGCCACATTAGTGATTTCTTGCCCCGATGTGAAAGTACTGATTAATAGTCGGTATTGGCAGATACTAAATATTAGGACTTGGATCAGATCAAGGTTCAAAAAGAAAATAACTACAGAACACCACTAAGTATAGAGGCACCACAAATAATGTAAGCTACAATATAGATCTGTGCATCTGTGTACACTGTACAGTGATGGTGCTGGCATACATGAAAAGAACCCCAGCATTGGTGTGTGTGTGCGAATGTTGGTGATGCAGCGTGGAAGAAAAGCTGTACCTGATTTTGAGCTTGTGTTGGAGCTGCTGGAGGAGGAGCTTGAGGCGTTTTGAACTCGAAAGACTCCTGTTTTGGTTTGGTGTTGTTCCTGAAAAAAAACAGAAAAGAAAAAAAAAAATCAAACAATATAATAAATTTGTGTTCTGAGCTCAGCAGAGTTTGAAGCTCAGATGTATGTATGTGTGTGTGTGTGGGGTGCTACCTTGGCTCAGGTGCAGTTTGCTGTTGAGGTGCGTGTGTGGTTGTGATGGTGGCGATTTTCTCAGCGTTGGTCAGCAGTGAAGCGTTGGAGGATTCTGAGGATTGAGAGAGAAAGGCACTCTAACAAACATGCACTATTAAACAGAGTGAAAGCTATAATTATTGCCACCCTTGGAAAACATTTGTCGGTATGTTATTATTTAATAACTGTGTGAGTGAATGACAGAGTGAGAGACACAGAGAAAGACAGAGTAAATGTCAGTGAGAGAGAGTAAATGTGAATGTGAGTGAGCAAGAATGAGTGACAGAGAGAGAGTTACAGAATGAGACAGAGAGAGAGAGAGAGAGAGTGAGAGTGAGAGAGATAGAGAGCGGTTGAGTGAAAGTGAGAGAGTGAGTGAGAGACAGACAGATAGAAAGTGAATGTCGGTGAACGAGAGTGAGAGACAGTGAATGTGAGTGAGCAAGAATGAGAGATAGAGAGAGACTGAGTGAGAGAGTAAGACAGACAGGGAGACAGAGAGAAAGTGAAAGAGACAGCAACAGAAAAATAGAGACTGTGAGTGAGTGAGAAAAATAGAGATGTAGAGAGAGAGAGAGAGAGAGAGAGAGAGAGAAACAGCATTTATGAGATGAGTGAGAGAGAGAGAGACAGACATAGCTAGTGAGAGAACGTGTTTGAGAGTGCGTGAGTGAGAGAGACAGACAGTGAGAGAGTGAGTGAGTGGGAGAGAGAATGAGTGAGAGACAATGAGTGAGAGAATAATTTAGTGAGAGAGAGACTTAGCTAGTGAGAGAAGGTGTTTGAGAGCAGGTCAGTGAGAGAGAGAGCGATAGAGAGAGAGAGAGAGCGAGGGAGCGAGTGAGACAGTGTCTGAGTGTGTGTGTGACGGATAAAGCAAAAAAAAAAACTAGGATTTCTCAAAAGCTTTAGGTTTTTAAATCTCAGAACTCTATTCTCCACAGCGCGTCTATAGAACAGTCTAACTGTGACTGCGGTGCAATGTTCCATGCGCGTCCTGCATTAGAAACCCATTTCCAACCCACCTCAACTGTAATGCGTAAATGCACCAACCGGCTTAAAGCGCTGCTCCGATGCTGGCGTAGCGCGCCAAAGCCGGACGGGGAAAATAATTGCACATTTATCACACCGAGCAAACGCTGTCACTGCGGCGGTTCCGTTTCATTCTACACAAGGCTGCTGTCTCCAAACCCCCGCATGGCCTCCACTCTCCAAAACACTTCTTATCGTATCAGAGTGCTTCTTCAAAATGACTGCGGTTTCAGTCACTTTAGCCAAGAGCTGTGAGACAGACTACTGTTCAAAAGTTTGGAATTACCATTAAAAATCTGGCATCACAGTTTTCAATAATGTAAAGCCAAATTAGCTGCAGGTAAGTGTATAAAATGATTGTGATATGATGTACTCTCCAAATAATGAACAGAAAGTTGATATTTTAGATGTGGCAAGAAATTAATAGATAAGAAATGAGAGATTAAAATACAGTTTAAGAACTTCTTATGATATTGAATAAAGCTTCTAAAAAGTATACTGTAGTCTCTTGCTTATAATATTTCAAAACATATTTCAATAAGTTAAAACTGAATAACATCTATTAGTATGATAACCTACAGAGCCCCGCTGGTGACATCCTGTATAAATAAAAATAATGCATAGCCATTACTTAGTAAGGCATGGGAACAAGATAATGAAGTCATGGCCACGGCTTAGTAAGGCGTGGGAACGAGATCCTAATGCATGGTCACGACTTAGTAAGGTGTGGGAATGAGATCCTAATGCATGGCCACGCCTTACTAAGTGGTGGCCACGACTTAATTATCTCATTCCCACACCTTACTAAGTCGTGGCCACCCATTAGGGTCTCGTTCCCACACGTTAATAAGGCGTGGCCGGGCATTATTTTTATTCATGTGGGATGTCGCCAGCAGGGCTCCATAGATTCCAACTTTTTAAACAGTAGTTTCCGCTACATTAGCTGTCTTCATCTCATTGGCTGAGCTCCTGTTTCAGCCACCGCCCATCTTGTTGACTGAACTATTCCTTCAATTCAGTCTTAAAATAGCAGCCTGTGTCACTATTTTCTCTCCGTGTTTATCTCCCTCTCTCTCTCTGTCATTTCCACTCCAGTGGTCATAGAACACCCCCCCGCCCCCACACCCACTCTCCATCTCTCCATCTGAAACATTCAACACACAGGAGTGTCTCAGGCTATGGCAACGTGTCATGGGATAAATTATAGAGAGCGGAGAGAGAGATAGACAGGTTAGAAATATACAGGAGGGCACGAATTTCCTCCAGTGGTTCTACCCACTCTATTCAATGCATACGCATATGAATACACCAACCCCCACACAAAGACAAAACAGGGCGCCCTTCTCCTCTGATTAAAGCTCAGATGGACCCCAGAGGCAAATGTAATGCAATTGGCATCATATATTACAGCTGAACACAGACTAACTGAGGCACGAGGCCATTTGCTATGAGCCTCTCTCTGTCTTCTAGCCATACAGAGTCTTTATATTGTGTGAAAATGTCAAGATGAATGGAACAATAGAAAGGCTCCAAAATCACCTGGAATAAAATGTCTGCACACTAACTTACATTAAAAGTTAGGAATGTAAGTGTGTTTGTGTGTCTCCCTGTCTCACACACACACACACACATACATATATACACATATACATACATACATAATATATATAATGCCCGTTATGTACTTGTGTTTTATAATGTATTAACAAGCTTAACTGTCTTATCACAATCTTTACTGTCTAAAAAATATGTATCTCTATTTTTTCTATTTTTATATTCATCATTCACACAGAGCAGCTGTCCTTTACGTTGTGTTAAAATTTCATGATGAATGGCCCAAAATTAATGGCTCTAAATTACTAGGGGCAAAAAAAATTTCATTGCATTGACCAACATTTTTTTGATCGTAATGATATGTAATATGCATATGTAGTAATATGTATTATGTGGATTATATACACGTAACAGTATATAATATAAACAATATCCTCAATATCCTCTACAATCTTTCCCCACCAAATGACTCAGAGAAAACACGCGCTAGTGTCACATAGCTGGAAACACAGGAAGCCACAGTGTAGAACATGCAGTGCTGCTTCCTTCAGTTCTCTCTTCATTATCCTGCACTTAATTAAGCTGAATGTTCAAGCTACCGTGGAACAGGGCGTCCACACACAGATACATCAGGTCATTAAACCATAGCAACCAAAACAAACTGCCTGAATTGTACTCAACTGACCAGCTCTAACTAACACAGTGTCCAGTTTCAGGCTTGGAGAGCATCAGTCCAGCTGAACCGAACAGTCCAATCTGTGTCCAGCTTGGTGATTTCCCTGCTCAAACACACCTGATTCAACTCAGCAGTCAGTTAGCTGGTTTATTAGCTGTGTCTGAGCTGGAAAAATGAAAAAATAGAGCCAGATTTCAGCCCTCCAGGACCAGACCTGGACCCCATGACTAGGCGGTACTGATAAAATTCAATATCCTGACATTTTCACAGAATATCATAGAATCAGGGTATTTGATACTCACACTGCCAGAGTACTGGCACTCTATGCTAAAAGAATGTCGTACAAACTTGACATTATTTTGACAATGTTCTGTTTTCTTGTCTTAAAATGACACGCAGTCTTGGAATTGATGGGCAGATAGAAACCAGACTTATTTTATTTATTTATATAGAACTGATCTTTCTGTTCTTTCAAAGGGGTCTCACTAGTATACACACTTAAAGATGGTTCTTCAAGGATTCTTCAGGCAATGTTTTTTTTAGAACCATGTGTTTCAATATAGAATATTTTATGCTTAAATGGTTCTTTGCATGGTGAAATGCTTCTTCAGCTTAATGGAGAATGGATACGGTTCTACACAGCACCAAAAAGGGTTCTTCTATTGTTACAAGCTTAACATTGGATAGAGCTCGACATATTTTGGATGGAAGAACCATCTTTAAGTGTGTAGATGGTGTAACACCCTAATTCTCAACCACAGTCGTTAAAAATGGTTTAGTGAAAAATCGTATTTACACAATTTCCCACAAACCACAGATATAGTCAATCAGCCAAGGTATGTTTGGGGTCAGTTTTGTGCCTTTACTTTAGCACTGGAGCTAACATTGCTAACAAAAACTAGAAGTCACCCAATAGTCACCCAAATCTCCAGAAGCTGAACATCCAGGTCTTCATTAAAGTTGTATAGACTTGTCGATGTGGTTTAGGACACAGCCTGATTTAATGTGAACTACTGAAATGAACAAAACTTTGTGTACACTCTTTAAAAAGTGGTTCATTAAGGGTTCTTTAGTAAAGAAAATGGTTCTATGTAGAACTATAAACACTCAAATAATCATTTGCATGATTAAAGTTTCTTTGTATCATGAAAGGGTTCTTCAGATTGATGGAGAATGTGTTGTAGTTGGTTCTATATAGAACCTTTTTGAAAATTGTTCCATATAGCACCCAAAAGGGTTCTTCTACTTCTACTAACAATAGAAGAACCCTCTTGGGTGCTACATAGAACCCATTTTCAAAAATGTTGTATGTAGAACTGTTTATAGCACATTCATGTAAATTCATCCATCTATGTGCTGTAGTTGGTTTTATATAGAACCTTTTGGAAATAGTTCTATGTAGCACACAAAACGGTTATTCTATTGTTACAATGTCAAGTTTGTAACAATAGAAGAAACCTTTTGGGTGCTATATAGAACCCCTTTCAAAAAGGTTCTATTTAGAAAAATTTATAGCACATTCATGTACATTTTCCTTCAATTCAAAGAAGCCGTTCATAAGGCAAAGAATCCTTTAATCATGCAAAGGGTTCTTTGAGTGTTCATGGTTCTATATAGAACCATTTTCTTTACTAAAGAACGCTTAAAGCACCATCTTTTTTTGAGAGTGTAGTTTTGAGGATGTTTGTCTGGAAAACATCTGAGGTGACTGTGTTTATTAGTGACAGGAAATTGTTTAAATTTGATTTCTCACCCAACTTTAATGTATAAATTGTCTCAGGGGTGTGTAAAAGAAGGAATAATGCAGACTAGAATACTGCAAACTGACCGTGTTTCCCCAGTTAGGAACAACTAACCAACAATTGACCCGTCCACCGCAAATTGTCACTGTCCAAGGAAAAACAAATCTCCAAAATGGTAACTTTACAGGAGAGGGCAAAAACACCCTGAACTTTAAATGTAACTTAATGTTAAAGTAACTTAAAGTTTATTCTTATTGATTTTGGGGCTTTTCTGTTGGTCCAATCATCATAAAATTTTCATAAAATGGAAAGGAGAACTGCCGTGTTCAAATGACGTAGAAAAATGAAAATCACCAAATTGAAAATACATGTGTTTTTTAGGACAGCGACGAGATATATTTCTTTCTCAGCAACTGCTGCAAGGTTAGACAAGCTTTACAGAAAGATAAAGCCTAATAAATTAAATCTAGAGTTTGATTTGCTCAACTGAGCTGAGCTGGATGTATGAACTTTCACATGCATGCAAAGTAAATACCATAAAATGAACACTCTAAATGTAGGAATTTTGACAAAAACTGAGATACAACATCTCATTTAGATTGAATGGCATTTTGTAAAGCTTATATCACAGTAACTACAAATGAACACGTTTATAGGCAGTGCATGGACAGACCAACTACAGCCAATCAGAAAACTGATTTCAGATCAGTGATAATGAATGAAAGCTATCATGATCTCACCGTCTCCTGGAATGATGCGCAGAGTCACCGTGTTTCCCGCCTCCTTGATCAGGTTGACGATGTCCGAGTGGGATTTGTTGGTGATGGAGCAGCCGTTAACGGCCAGGATCCGATCGCCCACCTTCAGCTTCCCGCAGCGGTCCGCCGGGCTGCCCTCGATGATCCGCCCTATTTTATGAGGCATGGCCACACATGTGTTTCCAGCTTTTGGTATGTGTGTATGTGTGTGTGAATTGTGTGTTTTGGTAAAGAGGGTTGGAGGGTTTTTTGGAGGGAGGTGCAGTTGGGTGAAATGGGGAGGAAGTGTAAGAGAAGGAGAGAAGGAAAGAGAGAAAGAAAAGAAAGCATAGGGGTTAATACACCGAGCCACCAAGCCAAAGTGACAAACTGCAGTATAATGAAGAACGACCGTATAGAGCGCCCCATTCAAACTAAACACAGCTGAGAGAGAGAGAGAGAGAGAGAGAGAGAGAGAGAGAGAGAGAGAGAGAGAGAGAGAGAGGTTTAAAATGACTAAGTAACAGAAAGAGAGAGAAACAAAAAGAGAGAAAGTCCCGAGTGGGAGACCGCAAGACAGGGAGAGTGAGAGAGAAAGAATAGAAAAGAAAGTGAGAGACATACTAAGGTCACAGAGAAAGCGAGAGAGACAGACATTATGAATGAGATAGAGAGAGAGAAAGAATAGAGGGAAAAAAAAGAGTGACAGTAAGAGACTGCGAGAAAGAGTGAGAGAGAGAGGGATAGAAAATAAAACATTGAGAGAGAGACATAGAGAGGAAATAAGAGTGAGGGACAGTAAGTCCCTCAAGAAAAGACCACTGACCCCATGTAGCACAGTGGGGCTCTTCTGAAACTTTAAAAGCTTTTATCATATCAGTGCCTTGGTAAAAGGGTTAAAAAGTCACTACAGTGCATTTCAGCTCAGGATTTCATTGGGTTAACTTTTAACCTTTAGAGTTAATCTAATCTACAACTGTGATATAATAAATGCTTTTTGATTTCCAGAGTTCTATGGAAATTCATTATTGTGATTTTTGAAGCCCCATCCATAGACCATCACTAGACAACAGATACCCAGTTATTATACAATACATACAAAAAAATCATAGTGATTAAATGGATGCATATTGCAGCTGCAGCATGTCTTGTAATATATCACCATTGCTGGACCATAAATAAAATATTATTAAAAATACACAAGTGGTCCCCTTTTTGTGACATAGTTGAAGACTGACCTTTATTTGAACCATGTTTGAGGCCAAGATGCTCACACCACACAATGAATAAAGTGACGGGTAAGTAGGCTCACTTGCATTTTGCAGCCTTCTGCAGTGGCAGTACTGCAAAGGCCAATATCACCATAACGATTAAAGATATACTGTGCAGCCGTAGTGGAAAACAATAGTGAAACCCTCTGTGCTGAAAACAGATCTTCAGCCTTACAGCACACATACACACTCACCAGTCACATTCACTAACATTACATTTAGCCTGTGTAGCTTTTATAAACTCCTCCAGTCCCTTTAAATTATTCATCCCACTTTTTCAACTCTAAATATGTTCCAAACTCTTGCTCGTCCCCACAGCGCTGTGCATTGTGCCCTCGCTCTGCCCGCGTGATAAATTATGGAAAACACAGTGATAAATTATGATGTTTGAATGGAGAGATTTTTTTGTGTGCTTTGAAAAATTGCACACAGACTCAAAACTCAAGATTTGAGGCCAGCTTGTAGGATCAGATAATTACACTCCTATCTAAAGTTACGGAATCTTCTGAATTAGTTATGCTGGAAATGAATTCCATCTGTGTTCTGAATAAACCCGTTTGAACTACTGCATCAGTTAATATTTAAGGTATGAAGGTTGTGCTACACTATATCAATGCATATAATCATATCTATATATGCGTTAAAGGAAAATTTGAGTGCAGTCAATCAGCCAAGACGTGTTTGGTGTCTGAAGTTTGCATCTTTAGTTGTGCACTGGATCTTCGAGGCTCATGTAGCTATTGCAGATTTTGTCCATTTTGATATATAACAATGTCACATGGTGTCAGTGAAGGAATGTACTGATGTGTAATGTGTTTTAGAGCTGTGTTATAGGCTATTATATTCAGTACTGTGTGTGCTGTATCTAGAACATTCTGTTCTGCCTATTTTGTCTATCCCTACATGGTCATGTCTTTCACACCTGTCACTTGTCATGTATAGGCTGGGCCTAATCTTAGCATCAGTATATAAGTATATCGCTGTTGCTGGAACAATACCTCGTATCTCCAAAACGGTAACTTTAGTCCATTCATCATAAACTATAAACAATGTAAAGGGCAGCAGGTATTTTGAAATTATGTCAAAAACTGAAAAACAATACAGATACAAGGTTTTGTCCCGACAGAAGCGATATAGACATATATAATTGTGACCATCCATTGTCTAACGGACTGGCTAAATGTCTGGATACCCGCGCAAGAAATAATCAATTTTCCAGACTTAAGGCTGCTCCCTGGTTTGGTGAGGGTTTGGATTCTTCATCAGAAACCACATAAACAAGCCTATGTGGGATTACTTTACAACTTCATGTGGTTCAAAGCCCCAGGGAACCAAATTTATGTTTTCTTTCAAATTAGGGCAGTCTTGCATTTGTGGACACACATTATATGTCTACAAAGTGTCCTATAAATAATATTCCAACGTCTAATAAATTACCAATGTATTTCAACCAAAATTCTCCATTCTCAGTGTAAACTGGCCAGCCTTTATCTTGGGTAACATTTACATAAGTGGTACCCTCACCATTGGTCAAGACTGATATAGCTTGTCCCGCATACACAGCTTGAACAAAACTATGCATTCCCCAATGGTCTCTTTACTGGAGAGTGAAAGCTAACAACCAAGCAAAAGCTACACTAGCAAGCTTTACTGAAATATCAAGCTAGCTCATATAGTTTAAGCTAGCAGAGCACTTACTGCTTACCCCGTTGTGTTTGGTTGTGTTTTGGTGACACAAGAGGCTGGGAGTGTTTGATAGAGGGAAGTCAAGCACGCTCATTAGAATATTAGGACCACACCTAGATCTTTCTCTGATAGGCCGGATTAGCAGAACATTCCCGAATAGTCTTTCTCTCTGTTGGAGAGCGAAAGCTAACAACCAAGCGAAAGCTAAACTAGCAAGCTTAACTGACATATAAAGATAGCTCATCTAGCTTATGCTAGCAAAGCACTGTGTGCTTACACTGTTGTTTTTAGTTGTGTTTTGGTGACATAACAGGCTGGGAGTGTTGGATAGAGGGATGTCAATCATGCACACTCTTTAGAACTTTAGGACCACACCTAGATCTTTCTCTGATAGGCCTGATTAGCAGAGCATTCCCCAGTGGTCTTTCTCTCTGTTGGAGAGCGAAAGCTAACAACCAAGCAAAAGCTAACCTAGCAAGCTTAACATTAAGACCACGTCTAGATCTTTCTCCATTAGGCCTGATTAGCATATTTTAAGCATTTTATTATTATTCTGTCCCATTCTTTTCACCTAAACTTTGACAGATGTTTAATGTAATGCTTAATCTTGGCATCATATAAACATTAAACATTTTTACTGTGTTCAACGGGACTGTGATGTGTTAGGCACAGTTAGCATAATAAGCTTCCTTTACTTGTTAGCTACCTACATTAGCCTTGCAGCTTCAGTGCAAAGCTATAGAAGCAAACCTCAGACACCAGACATGTCTTGGATAACTGACTAAGCAGGGAAATGGTGTAACTTAGATTTTTAACCAAACCATTTCACATGAAAGACACTGAGCTTTCAGCAAAAATAAATAAATAAAGAAATAAATGTTAAAAAGGCAGATGAACTGCAGGTTATTTGTGAAATAAGTAAATACAAAAATATTGAGCTACACTTTTATACGTGGGATGCTCAGTTTTATGGGCCGTTCGTGATCTTTAGATTACAGCTATATATGTTGCATAAATAACTGTGTACCGTGTGACTGACAGCATCTCTGTTTTTTTTGCCCCGAGGCCTCTATCCTCCTACACTCTCTCACTAGCGTTAGTGCCAGTTTCATCATTGCTGAGAATGAGCGCCACTGCTATCGCTTTTCATTCCTGTCAGAGTCAGGGTCCGTCATGCCTCGCTCTCTGCCGTTTTCCGATGTGTTGTGAGCACCACGCCGATGCCATAGCGAGGACACCTGCTCATAAACGGAGCAAACAGTCCAATCTTGGTCGGTAAACATTGCTTATTGGAAGCAGAAAGCCGCCAAATCCTTGGCTTTCTCCCTCCCAAGTTGATCTCTTTATCTTTCGTGGCCATGAAAACTATGAGTGCTTTCCATCTCTGCGCAGCTAAGTCCTATCAGTCTTTGTTTGATGTCTGTTGAGATTAGGACAAGCAGTGTAAGACCCAGGAGAGCAGCCCCAATTCAACAGCTATTTAAAGGAACAGTTTGGCTTAAAAAAAAAAACGAAATATACACAATTTTTCCCTCAGATTAAAGCAGTCCAGCACCCAAGAAATATTTGGGAGGTTTGCTTCTTTAAGAATATGCAGTGTTGCTAAAAACAGTAGCAGCCTCCACACTGTAGCCATATTTTGTAGCCTACATTTTTGTTCATTTTCATAGATAACAGTGTCATACACTGTCAGAAACCATATAAGCAAGTCTATTTGAGATTACTAAACAATCTGAGGTAAACTGAGGTTCAGGCATGCAGTCTGCATGATGCTAACTGGTAAAGGATAAACTTGAATTAGCTACATTAGCCTCGTAGCTCCAGTGCAAAACTAAAGAAGCAGACTTCATGTCTTGGCTGACCAACTACATTTGGGGTCAGGAGAAAATTGTGTACATTTGATTTTTAAAAACTCTTCCCTTAAAGCAATGATGGCATGTAGGCTTTGTGAAGCTTACACTCTTAAAAAAAGATGGTTCTTTAAGGTTTCTTAGTAAAGGCAACCGTTCTATTTGGATCCATGAGAACTATTTTGTGCTTTGCATGGTGACTTGGTTCTTCAGACACACTGAGAATGTGCTGCATATGGCTTTACATGGAACCTATTTGAAAATGGTTCTATATAGCACCAAAAAGGGTTCTTCTACCGTTACAAGATTGACTTCATTACAGCAGAAGAACCCTTTTGGTGCTACACAGAACCATTTTCAAAAATGTTTCATATACAATCATATACAACAAGTTATCCAAATAGAACTAAATAGAACCGTTCCCTTTACTAAAGAAATCTTGAAGAACCTTCTTTTACGAGCATAAAGGTTAACCATGAGAACCATTTCATGTTTTGCATGGTGAATTGTTTCTTCAGACTGACTGAGAATATGCTGCATATGGTTCTAGATGGAACCTTTTTGTAAACGATTGTATACTGCACCAAAAAGGGTTCTTCTAGTGTTTGACATCGTAACAATAGTAGGATCCTTTTTGGTACTATATTGAACATTTTTCAACAATGTTCCATATAGAACCACATACAAGTCCTCCAAATAAAACTGAGTAGAACCATTGCCTTTACTAGAACCCTTGCAGAACCATCTTTTTAAGACTGTAAGGCTATGGTATGAGCAAGACCCAAACAGACAGAGAGAAGCAATGGGCTGCAACCTTTATAGAATTCCCTTGTTAAAGATAGAAGATAGAAAAGGTGGCAGACAGCAGAAAGCAGGACATGCAGAAAGGCACAGAGAGGGATGACATACGCGCAGTGGAGACAAAGTCAAGTGAAGTTTTTAATATCACAAACAAAGAACTTGTTCAAAACAAAAAAGGGGTCACTAAGACTGCAAATCCTGCAATCCTCTTCCCAAAAGCAGCTTTCATTTTCAGCAGAAGAGGATGATCAACATAAAAACTTAGTAATTACTTACTTTATAGTTTTTTTTTTCCTAGTACTCTGCTATGACATTTTTATTTTTAAGCCAGTAAGCTGTGCAAATGTCATCCAACTAAATTTTCACGTATCTGATTTGGCAAACTGGAACATAATATGCATCTCAGCAATCTATAAACTAAGAAGAAAGAACACTTTGGCAAAAAGGTTTAGTTTTCCCATTAGAGCTGCACAATACATCATTCTTATTGTTATTGCGATGTGAGTTTCTATGATCAACATATTGTTAAGAGCTGCGATAACAGCACGGATCAAATGACCTTGAACGGAACAAAGTATTTGAAGCCCTACAAGTGCTTCCCTGTACTGGGCTTAAAACCTGCTCCACACGGTGAGCCAATAATTTAAACATCTGATTAAATGTCTAAAGCAATAATGCAAAAATGGCTATTGTCACAACAAAGCTGCATCATGATGAGGAGCTTTTTAAGTAATTAAATATATATTTGTATTAATTTTTGGGATCTACATTAAAATTAAAATCTATCTTTTTAGTTGTTTTTGTAGCCTTTGAAATTTTTGCTTGTAGGAAGCTATTTGCATTTAATTATTTTAACTTTGCATAACAGTGAATGGTGCTTTTAATTTCTTTTTTAGTTTTTTGCAATTAGCTTAAAGGAGATGTTAGTTAGATTTCAGTTTGTGCCAAAAAAAGAGGAACATCCAGTCAGAGGCACACTATTTTAATCAGAATTTAGCACTTCTCATATCGACATTCAGTGTGTTCACATGCACTCAATAATCTGATCATAATCGGATTTATGCAGTTATCCAATAATACAAATGGTCATGTAAACACCATACTCCGATCTAGAAATCCGATTAAGAAATCCGATAAAGAGAGCTGGATTTTAGCTCAGCAATCGGATTTCTCTGTGCATGTGAACTCTTACTCTGATTTCTTTCAGATTTCTCAGTCAGCATATGTGCGAAACAGACTGCGATATGGAAATAAACGAGCAGCCCTGCCGCAAGAAGCAGCAAAACATTTTCAAAGCGACAATGAAACCAATTACATGCTTGACGAAATGAGGGATTTAAATATTCTTCCTCTTCTAAATGATGTATGTTCATATTTTCAGGTAAAGTGGTGCGATGATTTAAAAAAAAAAAAAAGTATAAAGCATGAAGTTTAAGTTTTACATTATGTTACGTCACGTCTTCTGTGAGTTCGTGGCTGGTTGCAAAGCAGAAATCTGATTACTGCCTGACTCATGCAGACCCAGAGTTTCCCATTATCTTATTATTCAAGTGCATGTAAACGCATTGATCTGATTACTGACAAAATCTGATTTTCTGCAGTTATCAGATTATTAACTGCATGTAAACGCACTCATCCTAATATCCAACAGCTTCATTAGCATTGCATTTTATGACCATATCATGCAGCCCTATTCCAATATATTGTCTGAAGTTTCTTTAGTTTGGAACTACAGCTACATGGCTAACGTAGGTAACAAGAGATGAACACATATAACCAGCCAATTAGCACTTTGCTAACTGCATCCCTAAATCATCACATATTTGCTGTAAACTATGTTTTCAAGTAACATCATATAGACCTGCTTATGTAGAGTGTTTTTGTTTTGGTAGTTTCATTAATCTTCATTAAGATTACTTGCTAGGAAAATTATTTTCTTGTTGCGTACCAGTTTTCTTCACTATTTTGTTATATATTTATCATATTTCATATATTCAATTGAAAGAATAGACTAAATACTGTATATTTGATTCATGCGCATAATGAAGAACATGTGCATCAAAACCCAACCTACTGAACTGGCCAATCAGCACTGAGAAATGAAGCAAGTCTCACCGAAAGTGGTTCCCGCGTCGGGTCTGGACACGGACGAGACGATGACGAAGCCGAAACCTTCATTCTCGCCGCGCCGTATCTCCACATCGTATGGCTGGATGGCGTTGGGCACCACCGTGCTGGCTCCGCCTCCTCCGCCCCCACCGCTGCCGATGCCGCTGGTGGAGCCAGAGCCGGAGCTGACCGTATTGAGGGAGTTCTGGCTACCCTGTGGAGTCCGCTTATCCTCCGTCAGCGAGGCTGCCTGCGTGCTGCTGTGGTGGGACGAGGCCGGCGAGGGAGGAACGTCACCATCCACTTTTGTTACTGAGGAGACAGATGGAGAGTCGTTATTGTGGGAAGTGTTTAAAAGGCTGATATGGGCCCTTTAAAAACGAAAACTCCAGAAATCCAAAATAGTTTTCTATAACAAACTGGAATTGATCTAATAACCTATACACAATGAGATGAATATACATGGTCTTATTCAATGGAGTTATGCAAAGTTGACCGAATATAGCATTCATGTTTATTATACCTCTCTATAAAGTGCATTGAAAAGAACAATTAAGGGCTAACAAACCACATAACATCACCTCTATATAATGCAATATGCTCTATATGGTAGCACTCATTATTACAGTTACCATCATGATATGAAAGGCAAAATCAGTGATCAGTACTTTCACTCTGAGACTTCAGATGAGTACGATCCCTTTGTATTTTAACCTGAGAACACAGAGGATATGCTGAAACATCAAAGGCATCACAGATGCTCCATTTGATGCAATCAAAAAACCTTTCCCTCCAGATAAACAATACAGTAGACTCCATTCTCACAGCAGTGCAATAATAACATGCGGAGTCTGTGGGGAACGTGCTGCAGCTCTATGACCTATTTTCATTTTCATATAGTTCACGGGAACCGCTGCCTCAGATCAGCCACTCCACTGCCATGGAACAACGTGACAAAGTGGTGTTTTGGGGGTGCTGGGGGAAGATTCACGAGCCCAAAGTGGAGGAGGTGGAGTGACATTGCGCCTAAATGCCGTACTTTCTCATCAGCAGGCGGGACGGAGGAAGGACTGGAGCGCGCTCAATCACATTTATGGTCACTGTTTGTTCCCTGGCAAGGCCGCTGCGTCTTTCCACACTAACGACAAATGGACAAATACACTTCTGGACAGCTCAAATGTGTTTTTTTTTTTAGACGAAGTTAAAACATTTAACCATTTCTCTTAGAAATGTTCATAGACTTTGGCAAAAAAATGTAATTTGCACATATTTTCCTTTACCCTAAAAGCCACTGACAATGGACATGCCACATCAGGTAGAATCAGTTAGCAGATACAGCGCAAATGCTACATACTACAGTGCGAATACTGCTATCCTACATAGAGTGTGTCGCAGTGAGAGGGTCTCAAAATGAATGTAATTAAATGAAACTTATAACAACTTAATATAATGGCAACTCTTCATAGATTCTTTATGAGCTGAAAGATACAAGCTAAGAAAAAGACTAGGCTAGTAATGCTAGCTGTGGTAACAAACCATTAGCGTATGTCTACAAGACTGCCTGCTTTTCTCTGTGTGAATTTTAAGCCACAGGTCATCTATTATGACTTTCTGTAGTCTTCATTTGGCTTTAATGTAACATAGTAATGGTACAATGCTGAGAGGAGCACTGTGACTTGCCACACACGTTTTTGGATGTTGTGCGACGTAACGCAGCCAAGTTTGGTGTGCAAAGCCTGCTTCTTGAGTTTTACTCTATAACAACGAGGCTAATGTAGCTAACAAGCAATGGAAACTTACACCAACCAGTTAGCACTGCACTAACTGGTTTCTGACACACTAACATTCTGTTACCAATAAAAATGGACAAAAGTATGTTGTATAAGTAAGAAGTTGCATTCTTAAAGACTGAATTTGGTCTATACTTACTTAGCTAACTTATTACTTACCAACTCAACATATTTGGGGCAAGTGTATGATGATTTAAGCATGCTAACTGGTGTACAACCTCCTATTGCTAGTTAGCTACATTAGCCTTGTATTTCCAAAAACTGGACTAATCAAAAGGGTTTTGAATGAAGCTATTCCTATTTTTAAAGCTCTTATATTCTAAACTATAACATATTTCTCTTATAAAGGTTAGGGGAATAAGTCATTTGCACAATTTTCCCCTTAGCCTCTAATCAGCCAAAACATGTTTCATGTGTGAAGTTTTGCACTGGAGCTTCAGGCTAATGTAGCTAATATAATCCATTAGTTAGCATTATGCACCCTGCTGAAAAAACAGAAAAGTTTCTGTTGGTTCATGGTGGTTTCCAATAGTCATTAATGGTACTAATGGTCTTTTTTTCATCAGGACACACTGGTTTCTGACACTTTATGACACGATAATCTACAGAAATGGACAATAGCATGTTGTATAGCTAAACAAATGGCAGAAACCATGAAACCTGACCGTTCGTCCATAATTTTGTCCATTTATTATGTCATACTGTGTCAGAAACCACTTAAGCAATTCTTCTTAACAACGCTACAAGGTTTGAAGTGTGATGATTTACGTGTGCAATTTGCATGATGCTAATTGGCAGAGTATACTTCCTTTACTTATCATCAACATTAGCCTCATAGTGCCAAAACTAAACAAGTTAACTTTAGTCACCAAATGTGTCTTTGCTGATCACCTACATTTGGGCTAAGAGGAAATTAGTGAAAATTTGACTATTATTGCTTTAAGCAGAGTGTTTGTGATTCTTTCCCGGGGACCTTCCTGCACAGTTTCATGCTGCCCTGATTCTCCACACCTGACTAACGAAAGTAATTAGCTGAGGGGTTTGAATCAGATGTTTTAGAGCAGGGAAAAACATGGAGCTGTACAGGGTTTCGATCTCCAGCGCAAGGACTGAAAACCTCTGGGTTAGGATTTTATTAGACACTAGACATAGATCAAGATTCAGCGAGTGCTCCTTCATTAACATGCGCCGTGAACTCTCATTTAAATAAAATCTGTCTAGTACACATGAATAATTAGAGCGTATTTTGCATTATTCATAATTCCATTAAGGTCATAGAGCATTCCAGGCCAGGACTTAAATACTACATATGAACCGCTGGACTACGGTTGTCTGAGCACAGATTTTAAACCCAGATCTTAAACTTTGATCAGATCAGAAAGTTATGAAAACTCGCTGTATCAGGAAATATCATTTGTTCCTATTAGATAAGGCAAGTAATATGTAAATATGTATATATATATTAATCATTTACTCATGGCTTCTAGCCTGCTATGTTTAATACTAAAGTCACTGTTCTTTATGGGTCCAAGTGGTGCTCACCTCCGTATCCAGTCTTGCGTCTGACGGTCAGGTTAACGTGGCCCTGCTTGGCAGCTTGCTGCATGAGTTGTACCACCAGCTGATGGGACTTTCCCACCACAGCCGTCCCGTCCACACAGATCAGTTCGTCTCCGGAGCGCAGGCGGCCATCTTCATCTGCTGCCCCATACTTCACAATGTGACCAATATAAATCTGGATAGGGGCAGAAAAAGCTTTATGTCATATATATATTACACACACACACACACACACACACACACATATATAGAAACCTTTATTACTTCCTGCTCCCATACTTTTGGCCTACATTGTAGTTCTAGATTTATAATTCAAAAGACTCAAATGTTTTGGACAAGGCACCCCCAATTAAAGCATATTTTAAGGTTTGACGATCATTAACTGTTTTTTATTTTTAATGTATTTTAACAGAAACATGCATCACTGGAACGACTTGACAATTAGCTCTGGAAGACTTCGCCTGTTGGCTCCAGCTGAGTCTTTAGCGCTGGTCGTCTTTATGCGCTCAAATTTCTGTTTATTTTGGGCCTAAATTGATGAGTGGTGCTTGCCATACAGATAAACCCCTCATGAAATGTTTGGGACCAAATCCCGTTACCACCCCGGCCAAGAAAAAACCTCATGGGGGCCATTTTATCCTTTTCTTTTGAGAAATGCAGGCCAAATAAGCAACGTGTGAGCTTGAACAAGTTTCAAACTTGGCTTCTTTAACAGAGAACATGGGTGGCCCAGAAGAGATTTTTTCTCTGCCAGTATGAGACGGCACAGTTGAGATGAAAGCAGGGACTGAGTTGCGGGGATTTAACGACCACTCGACCACACACGCATAGACAGGGGATGCTTTTGCTGGGCCCGAGTCCTGCCAAATAGTGAGGGTTTCGTAACGTAGCATGCAGCTCACTGGACATGGAAATGGATGTCATAAACAAACTGCAAAGGCTGAGAGTTGAGGCCTGCCAAGCAAGCCTACTCTATTACGTTTGGAAAATCTTCAAAAGCCTTGAGATCTGTCTTTGTAGCTGTGAGAGAGAAGGCTCCGGCTTCAAACGACTGATGAGCCTCCGACTCCTCTAATTAGAATTTTTAATGGACAACATTGTGGAAAGCCTTCAAGTATGCCGAGAATTCAAACTTTTACAGATCAAGTAAGCACCCAGGCTTGGTTTCATCACATCTAAAAATAGAGCGGACCTCATCAAGATGTACTTGACATGACCTCAAGCAGCAAATGTAGTAAAAGAACAACTTAATAGTGATGAAAAGGGGCCTACCACTAAGATTTAAGTTCAAATCCCAGTTCTGAGCTCACATGTGGTGCAAGAGGTTTGCACAATAGGCCTTGGTGATCTCTTGATGGTACCAGACTCAGTAGGTGACGCAACTTATGACAATGTAAGCTGGGCAATCGTGCTGCCTAATGTCTTTATTGGCCCCCTTATATCGCTACTTATCGCTACTTTATGCAATTTACACTCGGCCTTATTGCTCTCTTGATGTGTTAGACTCAATAAGTAGTGTAATTTAGTGCAATGTAAGTGAGGCAGACAATTTTTTTAATCATTGAAGGTAATTTTTGAACGGGGTTCCCATGTTTTTTTTGCAATGGAACCCACATGATCCTAGCAAAAACACTGGTCTTAATACTGCTGTTTATGGTCAGGATGTCTCCTCTACTGTAATTCCATAACCATTAATAGTGTCACCCATCATTTGGCAGAATGGGACACTTCAGGCTCGCTCCTCATCTAAGACACATTAACATCAACAGTCTAGCCATCTTGACCATCTGGGGTGTAGTCAATCACACCTAAACATAACGTCCGTCTGTCTTTAGAACTGTGTAAAACTTATGTTGTCGACAGAGGATAACTCGACACTGACATGTTGCCGCTGTTCTCTCAATTGCCCGATTTTGTCTGTAAATACACTACATTTCCCATAATTCTATGAGCTGTGATGCTCCTTGGAAACCATGCATTGAGAGACTAAAGTCTGAGAGTAAAAAATATGGGATTAGTTCTTTTCTCCTGCCCACAGTGATTGATGGTGCACCATTCATCGCCTGATGAGTTGAAGCAGCATTCATGATCCACAACTAATCAAAATACATCAGTACTTGATCTCACTAATGCTCTTGTGGCCCTCTGCAATCAAATCCTCACAGCTATGTTACCACATTTAGTGTAAACACGTCTCACTAAAAGAGTCAAGAAAATAGCTATTAAAATCCTTGATTTCAGAAGAAGCACTGGATGAGCAGGATGGGCATATCCAAACTCTGGGACACAGTAATATTAGCATGTATTATTCGTGCAGTTCAGAATATGAAGCTGAATGAATGAAAGCTGAAAAAATAAATAAAAATAATAACAACAACTCACCGGTTCTCCTGGCTCGTTCCCTCCCAGGATCCGGAAGCCGAAGCCTGTGTCTTTCCTCCACAGGAAGATATCCTGCTCTTGGTAATCCGGCACTGAAAAGGGACAAATAACCCAAGGCCACGATCAATTCACCTGCAGCATGACGCAAATGGTCTGAATCATTCCACTCTGTTCCCTTGATGTCAAGTGCAGCAGCTGCTGGGGAAGGCGGTAAAAAGCAATGGCGAGATGTAGCGAAATGGTGTCAGCTAATAACATCATCGTTTTAACGACTGCACTCTGGCTGGACCCAATCAGAATTATGGTCAGGTTCAGCTTCAAACTCCAGGCCCTTTTCAATCTTTAACAAAGCCTTACAATTGACAGCCAGGCCTGAACCGGCAGCTATTATTACGAGAAAATGATCCAGTAAATCAGTACACCCAGAATGAAGTAACAGAACTATAATACAGTATTATTATTTAGCACCGTGGAGGAAAGGAACAAAGTACAATGCAACAAATCTTATTTGGTAAAATAGCTGGCTTCTCATGTAGTGACTCATTGAATTACCTGAATAAATGACTCACTGAATTCATTTTAAAGCCTTACAGGTTACGAAAGTACCTTGTTCATTGCATAAAACCTCATAATTCTCAAACAAAAGACATTTCAGACATAACTACATGGAGGATATCACAAAGAACAGGCATTCGCAGAGTGACCTGATCCATTTCAGAGCTCCTCTGAAGCACTAAACCTGTTTGATGCTTTCTTGCCCTTGGGCTTTAACCTCACTCTAGCGAAAAGACACTGTTACCTTCTACCACTCCGTGTCAAATCGGCCAAGACGATTGACAGCACTGCCACTCCTTCCTCTGACGTGTTTGCTAGCACGCATCAGCAGGATGTCAGGATGCTAGGCTGCTTAAGTAAAAGAATCACACGCCCCTCGCTCAATGTTCTGCCAGATGCACAATTTCAAAACAAATGCGTGCTAAGAAGGCAATTAGCAGGCAGGGTTACTCATGCGATGTCTGTTTCACTTCATCAGGTTAGTCTCGTATTGACGATCTGCAGATGTGTGCAGAAAGCAAACAGGCAAATGCACTAGGGTTAGGTGTGGGGCTGATGTTGCAGTCAAAAGGCACTCTGTCTGAGAAGGTATCAAGTTTTAGATTGTGCCTAAACCCAGATTAGGGACAGCTGTTGTTAAGTCATCTCAAATAGACTTGTGCATTCTGACACTAAGACAAAAGGCCTGCTTAACATCTTTTGCTTAGCAGCACAGTTTGAGGCTCTGGTGATCCAGACGCATCGTTTACACAATGATAATCAGAGAGGTACAAGCGTCCGTTACTTGTTAACTTAAAGAATTTGATTATTTTGCCGAACTATTACTTTACAGCTACACTGTGGAAGATTTGGGGATGTAGACCTTCCTGGTAGAAGCAACTTCATGCAATGTGCGGAAGAACAATTTGTAACTTCAGTTGCGCTTCGGTTCCCTTCCCTGAGGGGATGAATCTGATGATTGTGAGTGCATTGAAAGAGTATTCCAAAAGAACTAACTCTGTGAAAGACGTTTCCTCTGAGAATTTGCATGAATAACCTACTATTGTCATAGTATTTTCATCACAGTAGTGTTAATTTTGCATTTGAAACCCACACATTTATCTGAATCTTCTTTTTAAGTCTATGCGCGTAATACATTAATTATGACACGATCTGAAAAACTCCGGCCAAATCCGAATTGATAGCTCTGACTTTTAAATGGTACTTTTAGGCTTTACTGGGTGACTCACAGCAGCGCACAGACATTACATTTTATCTTGTTGTTTTTCTCGTGACTCATTAATGCTACTCTGTTCAATTTTCTTCAAACCATATATGGTGCAGGAAGATCTTTGGGTCGACTGGTGTTCATATAAGAAACCAAGTGCTAGAGGGAGTTACTCTGACACCATCCTGAGACCACTTTTGTTGCATGGCATATGATAGGGATTTGGGTGATGGCGAGCTGTCTGTTGTGAGAACAGGCACTCCTCCATTGTCGAGCCAAGCCGATGCAGCAGGAAGCAATGTGGGAGCACCAGGAGCAGGAGCAGCTTGGGCTGCAATCTGTCCACTGAATCGACAATTAGGCATGCGGTGTTCTACCCTGTCTCCACTCCAACAGCAGAGGGCAAGGCAGCCCGCACACAGAACAAGAACAAGGTTTACTTCGACACCATTTCATCTGCGCAGTTTAGCAATAATGCCTGGATTCTGCCTGGTTTTACTGTGGAATTGGATGCACAGACCTCATGCAAGGGAATATGATAGTAAATCCTGCCTTATCATGTCTCTGTGATTCGATTCGCTGGAAGCAAATGACTGACTTGAATCTCTTCCCCCTCCCCAGTGTTTCACTGCGGTGTTGCACTCTGTCAAGGTAATCAAGGCTAGTTTGATCCAGACTAACTGCGTCTATGTTAGCAGTCCAGACAGAAATGTCCATATATGAGTATAGTTGGAATAAGACAGTAAATCCCAGCTCATCATGCCTTTAGGATTAGATTCGCTTGAAGAAAATAACAGACTTCAATTTGAAATGGCTTCTCCTCGCCCTTGCAACGTTGCCCTCTGTCTAGGTAATCAAGACCAACTTGATCCAGACTATCTGGGTCCACGCTAGAAGTCTGGACAGAAGTGTCCATCACACGGCCAATCAGAGGTCTGAGTGCCTCCAGCGGCATACAAAATGGCCCCAGCTCGGAGAGATATCCCGGATCATTCCATCTCCATTAAGCTGCCGGAATGAGTTTCCAAATTGCGCATTATGGCTTGCCCCAGCTTTCAACCTACATTCACTTAAGCTGCAGTCACTTAATGATACTTTTGTGTGCTTAAGCTAAACTCTGAAACACCCACTAAGGGGTGCTCAAGCCGGGCATAACAGACCTCTGGCTGGCTTCAAAAATGGCAGATCGATCAGAATCTCATTGATCTGCTGCTAATTCGATTCAGGAACTCTGAACCACAGCTGACTGTGGAGGCCTATATTGGCTGTTCTCGGATGCAGACTTCATGTTTGATTGGGCCCTGGACTCCAAAAAACTGCACCACTGCAGAAAAGAAAACACAGAGGTGACAAGCCTTTTCTGAAGCAACCCTTTCCTCTTCCGCCTCTCCTGGCTCCTCTTCTGTTCTCCCAGCCCAGCTAGGATCCGTGGGCGGTGCTGCCGGTCCCAACCCCCTCCTTTGCTGTAAGGCGTTCAATAATGAAAGAGCAGCATGAAAGCAGGGTGCACTGGAGGAATGATTAGCCACTGAAATCTCTTGACCTGAGGGCCGAGCCTTCAACACCCGCAACCTCCCGACAGCAGCTGAAGGATATTCCTGCTAATTAGCCCACTCGTCCGTCCACGTCCGCATCACGTGGACATGAAAGAAATATGGGATTTTGCCATGTTCCGTCGCCACCAATTACACACACGTTTGTCAGAGATGGTTTTGAGGGGCACCGATGCGTGTAAGATCGCTGATAGCAGGACGGTATGTAATTGGTCAGAAGGGCTAGACGGTACGAGATGATTTCTCGCGCCTTTGTTCCAGAAGTCCGACGCATAGAGGAGGCAAGTGAACCAGGCTAATTAGAACTAGACCAAGTGTGGATGGCACAGCACTACAGTATAATGGTCCTTGACAGCAAAAACACACAGAAGAGTCTTACAGAGGGCTAATGGTTTTCACAGAAAGATTCACTTGGCATGCCAGAGTTTAGCTCAAAGCACAAGTTGGAAGTTAAGGCAAGTGGCAGGACAGTTTCCGGGAGTGCATGTCTAGACTTCAAAACACTTAATGGGAGCTAAATCAATACAGAACTTTATCATGCTCTTTGATGTTAATCTTATATTTGCTCTTGGCACTTTTTTGACCAATACTGACTGAGCCAATGGCACAAACAGACCAATTTTGAAATCAAGAATAACACACTACCTTGAGCCACACATGAGATAAAACAATATAGTTTGACAGTAGGTCAGAAATCAGATCTGAAACTTGCTACATCTGATGAAAGCCTTGAACGTGACCTGAAACCTCAGGTTTTTAACTTATAAAAAAGTCTGTTTCTTGCTGCAGTATAGAGTGAATGTATGTAGCGAATAGAAAAGCAGACCACAGAGAGTAATTGTGTTAGTAAAAGCATCATGACTAAGGTTAAATAAATAGGAATGCATTGCCTAGTCCACTTATCCCAATATAGCACTGCTGAGCATCCATATCCCTCTTTACTACTTGTTACTTGCCCCTCTCCATTTTCCCAGTGGACCCAGCAGCCTCCAGAGATCCAGCTCCCCAAGCTCCCGCCACCAAAATCCCATATTACTTACGCCTACTTTCATACATGCTCCTTGACTGGGCCCAGATTTTGAAGGGGTCTGGTTTCTTGGCGAGGGTGCCGTCTGCCGAGACGTCCTGCTGGGGCAGTCCGGGCAGCGGCTGGACCGGAGCAGGTGGGGCTGCCGTCTCGGTGGCCAGAGCCTGCGAGGCGTGGAGGGGCGAGGAGTCCGATGGGGCACTGCGGTGGCTGGACACACTGTGCTGAGAGCTGCCTTGGCTGTCCTTTCTCTCCAACTGCTGCTGTGTGTGAGTGGGTCAAAATGTGTGGGTGGATGAATTGAGTGGATGGTCATTATTAGCATGTGGGTGTTTGTGGATGTGAGAGAGAGATAGAGAAACAGGAGAGAAAAAAAAAAAAAAAGAACAGTAAGGAATCAGAAATGCTCAGTTTTAACCACTCAGTCAACGTTATTAGATCAGTGAAATGTATCTTATTAGATCAGTGAAAACTCAAACTCGAGGTTTTCCCCAAACTCCAAATGCAATCGACCGGCCAAGACATGCTTGGTGTCTTAAGTTAGCAGTTTTGCGCTGGAGCTACAAGGCTATCTAACAAATGAAGGAAGCCTATGTACAATAATCAGCATGGTACAAACTGCATGCATAAATCATTGCAGCCCCTCCTCAATCCACATTAAGTTGGGTAGTGATCTCAAGTAGACTTTCTTATGCACTTTCTGATACATTATATGAGAGCTAGTTCCAAGGGCATGATCTGATTGGTTGAGAGGCGTTCTAGAGGTTGAGAGGTGTGCTGTGACAGCATTTTTTCCATAACAACTGATCCATTCTACTGAGCATCAATTAACAGCTTTTATGCTGCAGATAACCATTGCTAACTTTTAACTTTAGCAAATACAAAAACAAAAATGGATATGTTATATGAACGATAACACTTTCTATGAATCCTGTATTCATAATGCTTTATGCATGAATTTATAAAGCATTACATGGCACACATAACACCTTATAATACCATACATGCATAAGCTTGTATAATTTATCTTCAGTAGGTATAATTACATGCATAACACTTTATAAAGCAAGACTATATGACATAATAAATTCAGACTCAAATTCACACAAATTTTTGTCCTTTTTAACCAATACTTCTGAATAATGCTTCTTTTTAGCAATGTTGGTAACAACTGTTGTGATAGGTCAGGGTGTTATACATTGTGAAGTCTTTTCTTGCTTAACTGTTATGCATGTAATTATAACTGCTGATAAGCATTCATACTGGCTTATGCCAGGCATTAATAGGTTTTATGCATGCTATATAGTTAATATTTGACCTGCAACTCTGAAGAAGTCAAATTTCGAACCTGTTGTTGCTCTTAAGCAAGCTTTTGTGTTTGCAACTGTGATGGCAGAACAACCAAACAAAGTGGAACCAGCCGGAAATAAATAGAATATAATTCGACACACCGGACAGGTTGTGAAATTCAGGTTAATCTTGCAAATACTGAAAAAAGCGGAGCTGAACCCGCTATTCTGACAGCTTTATGGCTCTATCCGTAGCTCAAAAGGCTGAAACTTTTTTTGGGCGGAATGAATCCCAACATTAAAGCACGTGATTCAACATTTAGGGCCTCTTTGCTTTAAGCAAGGTCATGCGTTATTCACAAAAACATGCCCTGCTAATGTTCTATTGCTTAAATATGATGAGCTATTATTGATAGAAAAATAGACCAAAGTATGTCACAGAGCTCTGCTGGTGACATCCTGTATAAATAAAAATAATGCGTGGCCACGATGTAGGAAGACGTGGTAATGAGATAATTAAGTTGTGAGCACGTCTTAGTAAGGCGTGGGGATGAGATCCTAATGCGTGGCCCTACTTACTAAAGCGTGGGAATGAGAAAATTAAGTTCTGACCACGACTTAGTAAGGTGTGGGAACGAGATCCTAATACATGGCCCGACTTGGTAAGGCATGGGAATGAGATGATTAAGTTGTGAGGATGTCTTAGTAAGGCATGGGAACAAGATCCTAATGTGTGGCCCAACTTAGCAAGGCGTGGGAATGACATAATTAAGTTGTGACCATGGCTTAGTAAGCCATGGGAATGAGATAATTAAGCTGTGACCACACATACTATAGGCACAGTATCATTATGAGGCCTAGTACTTAGCGTATATTTCCATCTTCTAGTCTAACTCTGGTTCAAATACATCACATCTGAACCCATTCGCTTCTTCTCAAACATATTTCATGCACCAGCCATTGCCTGCTAATTGTTTACAATCTTTGTTTCGGAGAAAAAAAAAAATCCACTTCCAGGAGCTTAATTTTTAATCATAAGCATGCAGAGATATGAATTCTCTCTGTGCTCATAAAGCGCAAGCAAAGTGGATTTTCCTTCGCCGACCCGAAACTTTCAGTCCTTTGAGGCTCGACAGAGACTGATCAAGCAGTTACAGTGAATGGGAAAGGGGCGGGCCGCTGTGAAAGTAAGTAAGGCGCGCAGTATTCATTTCCTCTTGATCAACAGAGAGAAGAATTCATCAGTAGACGGAATGCCCTTAATCCCAGAGATGGCTCACGTTGTTCCAGAGAAGGAACAGCCTCCAACAGGCAGAATTCCACTGAGAACGGTTTTTAATGAGACGCTGATAACACGGTAAGTGAATGCCAGTAGTGCAGCGTGACAGAGTAGCACCGTTTGCCTCTCTGCTGAGCAGCTGCATGACGTCTTCACCTATGACTTAAAGAGACGGGGGAAAAATCTATTTTCTGACCAGAACTGGGCAGTGAGCTGCTTATACTGCTGCTTCCCCAAAAAGGCCTAATCAATCATGTTCTGCGTATGTACAGTACCGTGCAGAAGTCAGAGACCAGTTAAAATGACCAATAACTCAGCTTCCATTCTTTTCAGGAGACTTGCCTTTAGTTTTTCAAAGACATAGGCAGGGATATTTTTCACACCTTCACAGTTCGGTCTTAGAAGTTGGTTACATTTTCTGCTTTTCATGATCCAATTAGTTTAGACTCAGTCTCAACAGCTACACATCCTTTCAGACCCATAGTGCTGAGTTGTCTTCGCACTGTGGAAGGATGGACAGAAACACCTGTGGATTCTTTCAGATTTGAGTGGAGCTTGATTTTCTCCTCTCTCTCAAAGATGAAAGCTTTAAGTGTTGTTTATCTGATGGGGACAGTTTTGGTGTCTACCAGGTCTTCCAGGTGGTTGTTAGGAATCCGTTTTTTTTTCTTTATCGTAATTATTTTTTGAACTTCAGTTCTGGAAATTCCTGTTTTTCCACATACTTTCCTTTGACTTTCCCCTTCCTTATGCAAGTGGATTAATTTGTATCTCATATCAGTAACATATCTCTTTTAATCATTTTAGATACATGCGAGAAGGAAATCTGCAAGGCAGCTGAGGTGAGTTTGGGTAGTTAAATGTGTGAATATTACTGTCAGTGAGTCCTTTGGGAACAGCTTTAGTTGGGAGGACTCTGCTGTAACTCTGTTTTAAGCTTGGAAAGATGGAAGAGCTGAAGTGGCAGATGATTTAAGTGCACAGAAGAAACCAGTGGACAAAATAAATACTAACAGATATTATACTATACTGTACACTAAACACATTAACAAAAGGGTGGTCTCTGAGTTTTGAACAGCATTATAAGTACATAGTCTTAATAAATCCTATTCAACTTCCACACCCGTCCTTGACCTAAACCTACCACAACCCGCACCACGTCATACACAATACAGCACATTTTACAGCTCATCCTCTGCAGACGTATATATTATCCAGGCTTTACTATTAAGTCAGACACTCCTGCGCTTCTCAGATTGCTCAGACTCTCATGCCCAGAGGGATTGATGCAACTCTTAGACTAAAGTGGAAACTAAGATTCTCTTGATTGTATCTCTGGCTATACACTCGCTTACATGAAACCATGAGGTATCGACAGATTTAAATGAAATACACTCAATTAAACATATTAACTTATAGCTGTGGGGGACATACCATAATCAAAAACATAATATCACTGCATACACCGCAGAATGTGAAAATAAATACAAATATAAATTGTATTGATTAAAAAAAACAAAGTATATCAATATTACCATACCTACTGATAATAGTAAGTACTAAAATACAATAATGAAAAAAATGTAAATAACAAATAAAAAAATAAGCCATAATAACAACAACAACAATAACAAATCATAAAATGTAAAATAAAATCTACAGGATATAATTAATAATAAGAACTGTTGTTGGAAATAGTACTAATAAAATGCAATAATGTCAAAAGAACTTAAAAAGGAAAATAAATAAAAAATGTAAGAATTAAGAAGAACAACAACTACAATAATCATCATCATCATCATCATCATCATCTGCTGTTCATGAGCATTTTCAACCTTCCATAATAAAGCATGTTGACCATGGAGTAGCAAAAGTCTGGTTTTTAAACACCTGCTATGAGCAACACCTTTAACAGTGTGCTCCTGCAGGGGGCGCCAAGCAGCCCTTTTAGCTCCATTAGGTCTTCAGGGATCTCTCAGAGGCTGGCACTGAGAGCGCAGTGAAAACAAACCCTCTTCACATGCAGGCATCAGAACAGCAATGCCAAGAACACATCCCAATGCCCCTCTCACACACACACACACACACGCACACACACACACACACACACACACACACACACACACACACACACACACACACCCCTAAACCACTCCAATTAACTCTCACACACAGCTTCAGCCCCCAACAAACACACACCATGAGAAACTGCACACGCTGAGAAGAGCGAAGCAAAGTAAAGACAGGTGAAACAGCAGAGAGAGATAAGAGAAAATAGGGAACGGGGGAGAGAGAGAGATAAAAAAGGAGGAAAGCAAAGTAACAGTAGGTGAGAAAAGAAAGGGGGGGGGGGTAAAAATGATGGCTAAAAAAGATGAAAGAAAGAAATAAAAGAATACTCACCAGTTTAGGGCTTTTCTTTGCAGGAGCCACCCCTGAAAAAGGCAACAGAAGGAAACATTAATCGGACGTGTTAATATTCCACCTTCAGCAGACAAAACAAGCCAGAATCCCAGACGATCGCAGCGCTCGGCACAGCAGCAACAGCCTCCTCTCTCTCTCTCCCTCTCTCCGTCTGTCCCTCTCTCTCCTCTTTCTCTCCTGCACTCTCTCCCTCTCCAGTGCAAAATAAATGAATAAAGGGCAGTGTGCTCTACCCGCATTCAGCGCTGAGCGCAGGAACGATCCATAAAGCTGAACATAGTGAACAGCTCAGCGAGAGAGAGAGGGAGAGAAGAGAGAGAAGGGGAAGAAAGAGGGAGAGAGAGAGAGAAGGGAAAAAGAGAGCAAGGGACTAAGAGCAAACAAATGAGAGAGTAAGAGTAAGAAAAAAGAAGAGAGGGATAGAGAGAGGGAGGAAAGAGAGATAGAAAGAGAGAAAAAGGGAGAGAGAAAGAAAAGACAGAAGGAGAGAGAAGGAGAAAAAAGCAGTGAGAGAGCAAGTAAGAGAAAGAGACAGCACAAGAGTGAGACAGAGAGAGATGGAGCGTGAGAGAGAGAGCGCGAGAGAGAGAAAGCGAGAGAGCGTGAGAGCGAGCGTGAGAGAGAGAGCGTGAGAGCGAAAGAGAGAGAGAGAAAGAGAGAGAGTTAGAGAGAAAGAGAGAGAGTCAGTCAAAGCAAGCTCCAAATCTATTACCCATAGAGAAGGAATCCAAGATACTGAACATTAAATTGTAGGCGACGGTCAGTTCCCCTCTTACTGAAACCATCTTCCAGCAGAGCTCCTCCTGCATCTACAGCCGCTCCGCACTCCTCCCCTCTCACATACACTCCTTTTCCCCCCTCTCTCTTCCTCGCTCTATCCTCTTTCACCCTCCCCCTCCGCATTAGGCGGCCATGCATCAGCATCCCTCTATCGCTCGCTCGCTCTGTCTGCCTCTCTCTCACTCTACTCTCCGAGTCTCTTTCCATCACTTGTTCTCGCTTACATACTCTCTCTCCATCTCTCTCTTTCTCCATTCAATTCAATGTTTTCTTTGATTGACACGACAAATTTACATATATATTGTCAAAGCAATGCGACCAGCAACACAATACATACAGAACAATAAAGTAAATGCTTCTCTCTCTCTCCTTCTCTTGCTCGCTCTCTCGCGCTGCTTTTGCAAAAGCTTAAACGTCGAGCCCCATTTCTAACCCAGCCTCTCAGCACTACACAGACATACACACGCTCTCTCGCTCTCTCGGTGGGGGCTGACAGCCCCCTGTATAAATAATGTTCATACATAAATAGCAACCCCAGCTTCACAGCTGGATGATATGAGCGAGGGAAGTAAACGGACAGATGAGAAAGTGCAACGCTGAAGATTCCATGCAAGATGCATTAGCATCAGTCCATCAGTGTGCCAGAGCGCTCTGATCTTACAGCTGTATGTTTTGCACGTCCTACTGAGGGTCCTGATCCCAGCCTGGCCTGGAAATCATTGTGCGCGAGAGAATAGCGGACACGCGAGACTGGGGGTCCTTATCACCACCATGGCTTATTCACACACCAGTAGCGCTTTAAACAGAGAGACACAGCTGTGCTTCATTCATATTTTTTTCCCTCCTTCAGACACATCAGGGATCTCTCTTTCAAATTGAAGGGGAATTCCACCTCTTTTTCACATTTTCTGGTTTGATATGAAGTGGCTCATTGCAGAGAAACTTACTGACTTCTTTACAGTGGTGGTGATAGGAACCAGGGGTCGCAATGTCTACAACACTAACATGGCCATTTATTTACTATCCAAAATGACCAGGGATCCTACACACGTAGTGTTGATATTAAAAACGTCATAATCTGAAAAAAAGAATTGTTAACTTTGGATACTGCTTTGCCTTGCATGCACCATTCTGTCATGAACACATTTGAAAAAAAATACTTTTTTGGGTCGAAATCTTGTCTCAAAACTATCACAAAACAATGTCATCATCAAGCAACATATTACTAACCACTTTATGTAATAGCTTTCTGGGAGGGAGCTTTTAAAGGCAGACGTCTGGTTCCTATCACCACCACTGTGAACGATTATTATCCTTTGCTTACATTCTAACTAACCCATGTAATTGTGCAGAAATTTTGAAAAGAAAGGGTGGAATTGCTCTTCTTAAACAACACCTTGGCCAAAATCAAGTTTACTTAACAGACATTTGGCGTCTGAAGTTTGCGCCTTAGATTTGAACTGGAGGCTAATGAAAGTAATAAGAGCTTATAACCCACCAATCAGCATCATCAGCACCATGGAGACTGCACACAAAGGGGCGGGTGCTCATGCTGCATTTTGCTCAAGGCTGAAAAAACGTGTAGAGCACTGCACTGCCTTTTTTTCCCCATTTTCTGAAGCCTGCTTCTGGCTGTGTGTCTCCCTGTTGCTAGGCAACAGAAGCATCATAGCTATTATAGCTATATTTCAATACGTACAAGCAGAAAGCTCTTTAAAAGATGCTTTTTGTTAAAGCCTTGGGAATTCTGAACGCTGAAACTGTACAGTGCCACTTACACTGAAGGCCTGCCTTCCTCTTGATCTGACTGGTCAGCACAGAAAAAACAAGCAAACAAAAAAAAAAAGCTCATGATGTAAGCTGCTTGACTGCTTTGAGAAGCAGCGCCACACAAAAGACAGCCCAGCGCTCATAATGCATCTCCACCATTAAAAAATAACTGGAAATAAGCATATGAATCTGCAAAAAAAAAACTTGCATAATGTGACGCCCCCATCACACCTCTCAGTTTTTTTTCTTTTCATTTTTAGTTGCAGTGCAAAAAAGGTATTGTGTTTTACTCTGAACTACCACTTTAATGAGGAGAGGCCAATGAGGACACTGGACCTGTATCTCCTTTCATGCTACCTTCATCTGCTGCCCACACAGCCAGAGGCCACGCCCCCTTCAGCATCCATACATTTCTCCTCAGCGGCCTTCATCCTCCTCCTCTTCCTCCTCCGCCTCTCCAGCTGTGCTACAGGCCATTAAATGTTAAAACTTTCTCTACCTCCACCCCCTCTTTTTGCTCACTCGTTCTCTTTCATTCCTCCTCCTTTTCTCTCTTTCTCATTCTCACTCTCCCTTTCCCCTTTCTCTCTCACTCTTTTTCCATCTTTCTACCTCATTCCGTTTCTTTCTCCTCTTATCCCTTTCCCTTGTTTCTCATTCGCTCTCTTTTTTTCCATCTCCCTACCTCATTCCTTTCTTTTCCCTTTTCTCTCATTCGCTCTCTCACTCTTTCCTTCGCCCCTACCTTATTCCTTTCTTGCTCCTCTTCCTTCTTTTCTCTTTTCTCTCGTTTGCTCTCTCACTCTTTCGTTCTCCCCACCTTATTCCTTTCTTTCTCCTCTTCTCCCTTTCTCCTTCTTTCTCATTCGCTCTCACCGTTTTTCCATCTTCTTCCCTCTTTTCTTTTTCCTCTTCTCTTTTCCCCCCTCTTTTTTCCTTTTCTTCTGTCTCTCTCTCCCCTATTTCTTTTCCTATCCTCTCTTTTGCCTTTTCCCATCTCTCTCTATTCCCTTTCCCTGTCCCCTTCTTTCTCTTTTACCACGCTCTCCCTTTCTCTTTTCCTTCTCTTCCCCTTTCTCTTTTCCTCTTCTCTCTCTCCTCCCTTTCTTTCTCTCTCCATTCTTCTCTCTTTTTCTTTTTCTCTCTTCCCTTTTCCTGTTCCCATTGCTTTGACCTTCTCTCTCTCACTATTCCCTTTCCCTGTCCCCTCTTTCTCTTTTACAGAGCCCTCTCTTTCTCTTTTCTTCTCCTCTTCTCTCCCTTCCCCTTATTTCTCTCTCCATTCTTCTCTTTTCTCTTTCCTTTCTCACTCTCCCCTTTCCCCGCCCCCTCCTCCTTGCTTTTACCTTCTCTCACTCTCTCTCTCTCCCCTCCTTCCGTCTGCTTCAGTGTCTCTCCATCTCTATTTACCTCTCACCGCCTTTACCCCCTATCTCGTCTCAGTCTCCCGCTCTCCATCATCTCCTCTTCGCTCCAAATGTCTGCTCTGTCTGCTCTGTGTAGGAGAGGATTGGAGGGGAGACAGATGTCAGCTCAGAGGTGTAGTGTGAGGAGAGAGCAAACGAGGAGGCCGGCCAGGGAGACGAACACTCAGGCAGGATGAGGACGAACACAAGGTGAGCACAGAAAAAGACAGGAGCAGAACCCATGGGAGGATCCATTTCACCCCACCTGTCCTCCTGACTCACAGCTCTTAAAGTGATAGTTACACTCACCAAAAAATATTATACCATTTCCCACTTTAACCCACGTGTAGCTGACCAGTCAAGATGTGTTTGGCATCTGAAGTTTGCTTCTACTGTTTTGCATTGGAACTGCGAGTAGCTAACAAGAAAAAGAAGCCTATCCTCCCCACCAATTAGCATCATGTAAACTGCATGCAACCCATGTAGAGTTAAAAAGTAACCTCAATTAGATTTGCTTGTGTGGTTTCTGACACTGTATGACAGCGTTTTCTGTAAAAAGGACAGACATGTGCCACAAAATCAGTAGCAGTGGTCTGAATTTTGTGTGTACCTTCGTCCATTACTATATGTAACATTATAACATTACACAACAGCTATGTTAGCCTCACAGCTCTAGTGCAAAAATAAAGAAGCAAATTTCGAACCCCAAAAATGTTTTGGCTATGATATTGTAAATAATCGTGAATTTTGCCTTTAAAGGGAAGCACTATGCTGATAGCTTTGAGAGTCATTCTACAGAAACGTCCATTTTTGTGTCCCTAGCGGAAAAAAAAAAAAACATTTTTCTGCAATTTTACCTGCAATAATCTATACATGACTATGAAATATATGATTTAAATGATAAAGAAAATAAATGGCAAAAAATATTATAAAATATATGATGAAAGTTGTGGTCCACAGGAGTTGTGTCACTGTTGTTACTGCATAACAAAAAATCTCTTATTTTGAAATAAAAATCACATGGTAAGTTGACTGTCATTTCAGTTATCAGATAT